TAGAAGAAAACATAGATGGGGGGAAAAGCTCCTTGACATTGGCCTTGAGACAAAGTCAAACATGGCCCCAGAAATACAAACACCAGGAGCAAAAATGGATGAGTAGGGTTAGCCCAAACTAAAAAGCATACACATACCAAGGGAAACACTCAACAAAATGAATGTGAACCTAGAGAAAATCATGGTGAAGCGAAGATCTGGTCAGGGGAAATATCCAAAGCGTGTAAGGAGCCCACACAATTTAATACATGGCTGGCAATCACCTCACACCTGCGGGGGAGCCATTACCCAGGAAACAAAACCTGGGAGTGGATGGAGAAAGGAGATGGAGCTACTGAAGAAGGAAATGTAAATTGGTGTCTTCATCATTAACAACAGAATGGAAGGTTCTAGAAAACTTCAACCAGAAGCCTGACATCAGCAGTTCTTGGGGATAAGCTTGTATCAGGTCCCTTACACACTTGCTTGACTTTTTCACTCAAAAATGGTGCTCTACCACATGAGCCATGGCTCCACTTCTGGCTTTTTGGTGGTTAATTGCTGACAAGAGTCTTGTCCTTCTACCCCGGCTGGCTTCAAACCCTAATCCTCAGATCTCAGCCTCCTGGGGAGAGGCCTGAGGTAGAAGGGAAGAACTTGTGAGTGAGGAGGACCCGGGGCACCCAGCAATGGGGGACAGGCATCACCCACATCTTCAGAGCCCCGGGGCCTCCGGCTCCATGCTGATGCACACCTGACCGGTCCTTCAGGCCCAATTGGCTTCCTTGGTTCTCACACCCCATGGGCAGTGGAGAGGACAGGGAAACACGTCCCCTCCCTGGGTCTATGTGTCCAGCATGAGACCCAGTGCCCAGGCCATCTGTGGGGCCTAGACCTGAGGACCCTCTATGTGCTAAGGTCTGTGAAGAAAGTTCAAATCCCTAGAGAATCCTCAGTTTCTCCCTTGTCAGGGCTCTCTGGCAAGAGACAGACAACTTGGCACATTTCAGCCAATATTGAATACCAAGTTGTTGTTTTTATGTTGGTGGTGGTGGTAGTGGTGGTGGTCATGGGGCTTGAACGCTGGGCCTGGGCGCTGTCCTTCAGCTCTTCAGCTCAAGGCAAGTGCTCTACCACTTGAGCCACAGCATCACTTCCAGTTTTCTGGTGGTTCATTGGAGATAAGAGTCTCACTGACTTTCCTGCCTGGGCTGGCTTTGAACCATGCAATCCTCAGATCTCAGCCTCCTGAGTAGCTAGGATTACAGGCGTGAGCCATCGGTGCCCGGCTTAAGTTTCTTAAAGTTTGTAAAGTTTTACCCAGTTTAAGAAGCTTCAGTTCTCCACCAAGCATACCTATAACTCCAGCCACTGAAGAGGCAGGAAGATCTCTACTTCAAGGTCAGGCCAGGCAAAGTTACTGAAACCCTCAAAAACAAAATACTCACTAAAGGGCTGGGGGGGAGGAGGTGCTTCAGATGATAAAGTGATTGCTTAGCAATCTTGAAGCTCTGGAGTTCAATCTCCAATACCCCAATAGAAGAGGCAGGGAGGGAGGGAGGATGGGAGGGGGAAAGGATGGGAGGGCAAGAGGGAGGGAGGGAAGGAGGGAGTCGGTCCCCTTCCAGCAACTCCAGCATTCCCCAGGGCCTGGCAGGTGTCAGGCAGCTAGAGTAAGTGTTAGCAGGAGGTTTAACAGCAAAAGGAGGAGGGAGACTAGGGAGGTCAGGATTGAGACAAAATGCTTTTCTTCTTTTCCTTTTAAGGTTTCTTGGGGGTGGAGAGGAGTGGTAAAGAGAGACAGATGTGAGAAGGGGGGTTGGGGGAGAGAAAGAACCTGGGCTTGATGGAGTGCGATCTTGAAGATGTAGGTGAGGGGCATTCAAGATATCAGCTAAGGGTGGACGGTCAGTCCAGAGGGTCTCCTGGGGTGGACATTGAAAGATCAATGGTCAGGAGTGTGGAGGAAGGAAAGCAAAGGCCTGGATCAAAGCCCTCGGGAAAACCAACGCATCAAGGAGACTAGCACTCTACCACTTGAGCCATAGCACCACTTCCTGTTTTCTGGTGGTTTATTGGAGATAAGAGTCTCACGGACTTTCCTGCCCTGGCTGGCTTTGAACCTCGATCCTCAGATCTCAGCCTCCTGAGTAGCTAGGATGACAGGCATGAGCCACCAGTGCCCAGCTTAGTGTTTGCTTTTAAACACAGGCGAGAATGATAAAGCCCAAGTCGTGGATGCCACATATAAAATGCATGATTTCTCTGCTTACACTGGACTTCAACCTGCAAGTATTTTAATTAAACCAGCATGTAAATGTCAGAGATATCAAAAGAACAAAGGCATTATTAATTGGAGAACCAAGGTGACCAGCCTCTTTATTCTTGTAAATTATTTCTTCCTTCAGTTCTGATCTCAGTAACAATCACTCCTGCTGCATCTTATGACCACAATAATGTTCCTGGATTGAAAGCCACCGTTTTATTGCTTATCTCTTGGGCTCTTTCAAAACAAGTAATTATCAGATCAACATTTAGCTTACTGGCCTTGAGTTGAATAGGTAATTTCCCCCCTGAGTCATAGCCGTGGAAGAATTCAAGCCAAAATTCCAGGCTGGCTTTAAGCAATAAATACTGTAATTAACTTCTAACCAAGCAAGCTAACATTTTGCTTGGAGAACACAGCATTTTCCCAAACAAATGTCTTTCAAATAAGAACAATTTCATGCCCTCTTTCTTCCCATATGGTACTTTGCAGTGTTTGAGAATAACTAGAGTGTTGTGCAAGACATATTCTTGGAGACTTTAGACTCTAGTTCTCAGCCAGGCATTGTGGCTCATGCCTGTCATCCTAGCTACTCAGGAGGCTGGGATCTGAGGATTGAGGTTAGAAGCCAGCCTAGGGAGAAAAGTCCGTAAGACCCTTATCTCCCATTAACCACCAAAAAACTGGAAGTAGAGGTGTGGTTCAAGTGGTAGGATATCAACCTGAAGAGAAAAAGCCAAGTGACAGCACTAGACCCTGAGTTCAAGACACCCCCCCCCCAAAAAAAAAGAGTGCTCTCTTCCTCATCTTGTAAGGAGTAAAAATAAATTTTTTTGAAACAGTGAAGCAATTCCTTTTCTTCAGAGCTTTGCTCTGTAGCAATCCTCCTGAGCCTGGCTAAAAGCTTTTGTCCTGTCTATAGATACAAATACAGCAGATGAAATGCCTCTTGTGATCAGTGAGTCCAGGAGGTGGGCCACTGGGGGATGACCAGTCCAGCTAGAAGCAGGCCTGGTCCCAGGAATAGACCAGTTTCTTGTTCTTCTACTAATACCGTCTTGTGTCTATCCGGTCCGTGAAATAGGGGAGGTGAAAGTCTGATGTGGGATCTTGGGAGAATTGAAAACAAGGGAACCCCTCCCATAATTCTCTGGGCCCCTGCTCCAACAATGAAAGAAAGCCTAGGGGAGGAGGGCTGAGCAGGCCCTGCCCCCCAAGAGGCTCCTATGCCCCCCCATCTCCGTGGGCTCCCCACCTTCCACAGAGAGACTGGCTTCCCTGCTTTTGTTTCACTTCCAAACTTGGTCTGTCTGTTTTCGGCACTAAAATAAGCAAATAAATACTGTACCTAAGTACAGACAGACAGACAGAGAGACACGAACCCAAAGGCATTGAGGTGGGTGGGGGAGGGGAGGGGGAGGCAGATAGAAAGCTGAGGTCCAGCTTGGAGATGGAAGGGTTGGAGGTGTGATGTCCTGGAGGAGATTAGCTTAGGGTAAAGGCAAGGCAGAACCCAAAGGAAGAGAATAAGTCACCCCTCAGCTGTTCAGAAAGAGACCCAGCATGAGATCGATTGCCACTGTCTCGTGTGATGTGCATGTGGGCATGCATGTGCATGTGCATATCTGTGCGTGCATGTGTGCAAGCATTTATACATGTGTGCATAGTGTGCATGCATGCATGTGTGTGGGCATGTGTGTATATGTATGTAACTGCTGCCACACATAGAACTAAGAATTCACAAACCCATAAACTGACATGTTGGATTAAAATCCTTCGTACAACTACTTAAAGACAAATACAGATGCACGTGCAGACATACATGCACGAATAGGTTGCATATATGTGTTCATATCTGTATGCGCACATCCATGCACTCATGGTATACACGCATTCATGCACATGTGTGTGTACATGTATGCCTTGTGTGCTGTGCTCATATACACATACGTGCAGGCATACCGAAGTCCTCCAGCAGTACACTCCCACTAGCCATGGCAACCAGCCATCGCAGGTGGAGTGTACTTCTGTCTACGTAGGCCTGGTCTGGGGAAGTCCATCAAAAAATATTGCTGAAAGTGTCTTTAAGATTTTTTTTTTTTTTTTTGGTCAGTTGTGGGGCTTGAACTCTGAGCCTGGGCGCTGTCCCTCAGCTCTTCAGCTCAAGGCAAGCGCTCTACCACTCTGAGCTCCACTTCCGGTTTTCTGGTGGTTCATTAGAGATAAGAGTCTCACAGACTTTCCTGCCCAGGCTGACTTTGAACCACGATCCTCAGGTCTCAGCCTCCTGAGTAGCTAGGATTACAGGCATGAGCCACCGGCTCACCCAGGCCCAGAGTTCAAGCCCCATGACTGACAAAAAACAAAAAAGTCTGAGCCTATTTATGGGCCAGATTCAGCCTGTCAGTGGAGGACAGGACCTAGGGTTTCCTTAGTACCACAAGGAAACGTCAATTCCTTTCCTCAGCTAACTCCTGTCCTTCCCTCTGATTGGGCTTTCTCCCAACCGCTCCTCTTCATGACAACCATGTCTACATCCACAGGGACTGGACGGGGTTGGAGGAGCTGAGAGGGTGCACTCCTGATCAGATGATGGGGTCACTGTGACCCAGAGGCCCGGCTCTGTGCCTGGCACACTCACAGCGGGTTACGGCGGACATGCAGGGAGGGACAGAGCCAGCACCCGGGGTAGGGAGTTGGCCCGTTGACACACCCACCCTGGGCTAACCGAGGGCCTGTCTCCTTTCCTCTCCAGCGCTGCGGAGTCGCTCTGGCCGCTCCATCATCAATGGGAACTGGGCAATTGACCGGCCCGGGCGCTATGAGGGTGGAGGGACCATGTTCACCTACAAGAGGCCAAACGAGATCTCCAGCACAGCGGGGGAGTCCTTTCTGGCTGAAGGTCCCACCAATGAGATCCTGGATGTATATGTGAGTTGGGATCCACTCTAATGAGATCCTGGATGTGTGTGTGTGTGTGTGTGTGTGTGTGTGTGTGAGTGTGAGAGAGAGAGTTGGGGTCAGACCCTGGATGTGCATGTGTGTGGGAGTTGTGATCAGATCCCAGATGTGCAGTGGGGGGGGGGGGGGGGGGTGAGCTGGGATCTTTCTGGACTGTTCTCTGGAGGTTGTGCCCTGGTGCTTCTGAGGAGAGAACATGAGCAGGCAATCGGGGCTCCACACCGCCTTTCACACACAGCCTGTCTGACCTCCACTTCCCGGCTTGGCTTCCATGCTTGGTTCTCTTGTTTGCCATTCACCTACAAACCTTCAGTGCCACCAGATGCTTATTCCACCTCCGAGTTTCCTGACCCCTAAAACCAGTTGTACTGGGTAAAGCAAATCAGAGGCAGACATGGCCTTTATTTCATGAACTGGCTCTCCTCCAGGTACATGGCAGTTCGTGCTAATCATCCCATGTTATTTTTTTCTTTTTTTGTTGGTCGTAGGGTTTTGAACTCAGGGTCTGGGCCCTGTCCCTGCGCTCTTTTTGCTCAAGGCTAATGCTCCACAAATTTGAGCCACAGCACCACCTCCCATTTTCTGGTGGTTCATTGGAGATAAGAGTCTCACTGACTTTCCTGCCTGGGCTGGCTTTGAACTATGATCCTCAGATCTCAGCCTCCTGAGTAGCTAGGATTACAGGCATGAGCCACCAGCGCCCTTGTCCTGTGTTCTTTTTGTGGCAAAAGGAAGCAAATCAGAATGCCAGTTCTAGCTTCTAGCCCTCTTCAAACTCCATGAAGGCAAATGGAGGACCAGGGGTTCTAGAAGATTCCAGATAAGGCCGTAAAGCAACAATACCAAGCCACATTCCAGAACTTCCGTACCTCACAGAAGGCAAAATATGTGATTTACAGAAGATCAAAATATGAAGTTGCCCAGAATTCAAAGAAAAAAGGTGGAGGAGAGGGGGCTGGGGAGAAGGTCCTTATAGAAAGAGAAAGAAAGAAAGAAAGAAAGAAAGAAATCACTGGATCCCAGCCTTCTGGAAAGTTCAGGAAATACAGAAATGACAAGAAATAAAGGTTTACAATCGTGTGTGGCTAAAAAGAATGCACTCACCCATGCGTGTGTGTGCCGGCATGTCTACGTGACACTTGGCGTGTGTGATCAGACTGAAAACACAAGCCGCTTTCTTTGCGATCATTTTTTTTCCCCCAGCTTCACAGCCCTTCTGTGCCTTTCCTCATGGGTGAATGGCCCAGGAACTCTCGTTGGAGTTAATCTGGGGTGGTGTTTATTTTTCATGTCTTCTATTCTGTTGTCTGTGGGTTGGGTTTTGTTTGTTGCCTGTCCTCTTGATTGGTTGACGTGGGTGTATTTCTCATGGTCTCAGAGCCAGGGTTGACTTGCCCGGGCCCAGGTACCTCCTGCCATCCAGGGAGACTTGGCTTCTCTTGTCCCTGTGTCCCTAACCCTGACCCTATCTCTTTGTGTTCCTCCTGTTTTCCATACATGAAAGCAGGTAAGGCTCAGAGAGCCGGCCTGGGGCAGACCTGAGCGCACCTCCCAGGCCCAGCCAGGACACTAAAGGACAATGAAGTTCCAGGCCAGTCCTGCTGGGGGCTCCCCTTGTCTGCATGGCTGTCGCGCCCCCTAGTGTTCGTATGGAGTCCCTGCAATGGAAACATTGTTATCTCAATGAGACAGTATGACCGCAGAGTGCTGCTCTGAGCCTTGCTTGCATCCATCTGCACGGGAGATCTGCACACAGGTTCTGCTCCCATTGCTCCTGTCCTTCCCACCAGGAACTTGATGAACTCTTCACGCTTGTCCTAATTTCCTTCTGATTCAAGATTATACATTCGCACACTGGGTGGCCTCCCGTGGCTCACATCTGTAAACCTAGCTCTTCAGGAAACTGAGACCTGAGGATCTCCGTTCAAAGCCAGCCCAGGCAGGAAAGTCCATGAGACTCTGATCTCCAATGCACCACCAAAAACAAAACAAAAACCAGAAGTGGAGCTTTGGTTCAAGTGGTAGAGTGCCAGCCAGCCTTGAGCCACAAAGCTCAGGGAGAGCACCCAGAACCAGCACTTACACCGAGAGAGAGAGAGAGAGAGAGAGAGAGAGAGACAGAGACAGAGACAGAGAGAGAGAGAGAGAGAATGTGCTTAATAGAAGTGGCCAGGTGGAAATGGAGATTTATGAAAGGGGACGTCGTATCTTTAGGGCATCAGCGTTCCGGAGCGTGTGCAGGTCTCCTTGGACCCCAGTGCCAAGGGTGTGCCATTGTGGCGCTTATGCATGCACTGTGGGCAACCACGCACGTGCATTTGTGTGTTCTAGATGATACACCAGCAGCCCAACCCGGGCGTGCGCTACGAGTACGTGATCATGGGCACCAACGCCCTCAGCCCCCGGGCCCCGCCTCCCAGGAGACCAGGTAAAACCACCTCTAAGTCACTTCTTCTTTAAGCCTGCCGCCTCCTCCTCCTCCTCCTCCTCCTCCTCCTCCTCCTCCTCCTCTTCTTCCTCCTCCTCCTCCTCCTCTTCCTCCTCCACCTCCTCCTCCTCTTTCTCCTTCGCCTCCTCTTCCTCCTTTTCTTGTGCTTCTACTCTCCGCCTCTCACTGCAGAGAAAGCTCAGGAAAACATCTCTCCAGCTCATGGACTTACCTCAGAGCACGCCTCCCCATTTGTCTGAGTCTCACTGACGGAAAACCAAAGCAAGCCTCCGGTCTGCCTTCACCCCTCACTCAGTATCCGTGCTGGTTTCCTAATGCTGCTCTAGAAATTTCCTCTCACCTAGTGGCTCAGAGCAAGACACTCTGCCGCCTTATGCCTGAAAAGGCTCTCTCTGTGCCGCTGCGTGTACCTGGATCAGCCTCCCACTGAGATCCTCCCCTGCTCAGCCTCCGAATTAGCTAAGATTCCAGGCAGGAACCATTAGCTCCCAGATCTTACTGTTTTGTTGTTTTGGTGGTGGTTGTCGTTTTTTAATATACTGATGTTCTGAATATGAGCAAAACAACTGTCTACTTATTTTAAATCTTATCGACTTGCGTGCTGTGGAAATGACCTCTTAGGGTGAAGCCATTTCCTCTTTCCATCCCACGAGCTTGTATGTGTCCTGGCATCCTAGGGGAGTCTTTCCCTGGCCGGCCGGAGATAGAGGGGAGGAGCCAGGAGGATGGAGGAGAGGAAGAGGAGGAGGAGGAGAAGGAGGTCTTGGGGGGGGCCACACCGGACGTGTTCTCCCCCGAGTCGGCGCAGCCCTTCCCCGCCAGGCATCCGGACAGCGTGGCCAGGCGGAACCGGAATTACAACTGGAAGCAGCTGGGGACCACGGAGTGCTCGGCCACCTGCGGGAAAGGTGAGTCTGCATGGCAGGGGCAGCCCGGGGCATCTGGGGACGCATGGCTGGCTTCCTGGGGGACGCTTGGTGGGGTCCCCGAGGTGGCCCCCAGGCTCCACAGAGGGCCTCACAGATTCAGAATGCCATGGTGCTCAGGCCCCTTCTTATCACAAGATGCAGAATCACAGGGGATCCAGGAGAAACGAGGCCCCCCCCAGGGTCCCCTCAGGGAGAGCCGGACCAGAAGGCACTTGGCTCGGCCAGCACTGTCCAACAGAGACGCGCACCCAGGCCATGGTGCCCAGGGCTTTTTCCCAGGAGCAGGTCATACAAGTGTGCAGCTCCCACGTGGCCGTGGCTCCCCCAAACACCCCAAGATCAAACTGACTCTCCAGCCCAGGCCTCACACCTTGAAGCAGGAATCACTGAACACCCCTGGGTGGGAAGATGCTGCTGCTTCTGCATCAGGGTGACTCGGTATCCCCCAAGAACCATGTGGTTCTAACTTCCCCCCACTTTGTGGAGACTAGTTATCTCCTGACACAGCTCTTCCAGAAACTTCCACCCTTATCCCCTGGCTCAGCTCTTCCAGAAGCTTCTAGCTCCTCGGCTAACTGGGAAGCCATGTGCTACAGCACACTCATTGGTTTGGAGATGATTTCCTTTTTTTTTTTTTTAATTTTTTCTTTTTCTTTTCTGTTCTTCGAGACTTGGATCTGGAAGAAATTTGGACCCTTGGACATAATTAGGAGCTGAAAAAAAAATGTCTTGCAGCTGCTTCTAAAGTTCTTGTCTTTTTTTTGTAAGAGCATTTATTCATTTGAGAATAAGGGGAATGGGGGACCCCAACCCCCATGCTCCTCCCACAGACCTATTGACTTGATAACTTGAGGACTTGAGGCTTTCTTGCTTTATTTAGTTATTTTTTGGTCGGTCATAGGGCTTGAACTCGGGATCTGGGCGCTGTCCCTGAGCTCTTCTTCCTCAAGGCTAGCACTCTACCACTTAAGCCACACCTCCACATCCCATTTTCTGGTAGTTCATTGGAGATAAGAGTCTCACAGATTTTCCTGCTTAGGCTGGCTTTGAGCCGGGACCCTCAGATCTCAGCCTCCTGAGTAGCTAGGATTACAGATGTGAGCCACCAGTGCTCACCCGGCGGCTTTCTTGCTTTAACCTGGCTCATGTTTGATGCACTCTCTTCGAGTGTGGATGGGGAGATTTTGTGGACCCAACTTCCCGAAACTTTCCCAGGGAAAAATCAAATGCCTGTTGGATGTGAAACTCTTGTTTAAAAATAACATGCCAATTAAGCCAGATTATCATTTCAATCAAAAACAGTACCGACTGTAAAAATGAATAAGAAGCCACGATTGTACAGTTTCCATTTTGCTCAGCTCCATATCGCCTTCCTTTCCCTAAGAGAGTTTGTTGGGGTTTTTTTTTAATTAACTTCAACAAACATTAAGCACATTTTGCCGAGTTGTGATAGAAAAGAAGAAGATAGTTCGCAGTGTCTGGTGAAGCACTGGTGAACCAGCCACTAAGGGATTAGAACCAGCTTCTTGAGGTAGATCATCCCTTCCTGCTGGGCCACTGCGGGGCTGACTTTTCCACTCACAGCCCTGCATGCTCTGCGCATGTCCAGATTCCTAGCTGCAAAGGTAGGCGAATGCTCCCTGCTTAGAGTCCCTCTTTTGATGGCACAAGGGCCACCCACGTAGATGGAGAATCTTCACATTACAGTTGAAATGGTGGCAAGTCTGAGTTCCAGAAAATAGATGCCAGGCAGTATGCAGCAGATGAACAGAGTTTGGAAATCAACATGGGCTCCTCCTAGCAGGCGCTGAACCAGCCTCCGCTATGGGATAGACTGGGACCTGGGAGAAAGAAGGTCCCCTAACGTCTTCAGTGCCCACTAGTTTGACCCAAGTACTGCCAGCAGGGGGCAGTAGAGAATAGGAGGAAAACGAGAATTAATGAAATTCCACTACACTGGGCTTTTTAACCCAACATAGATCTCTCCTTATTAAGCCAAGGAGACTCGGCTATGCATATATATACAAAAACCTGATGCAGTTATTGATTTTAGCAAAGTACTAAACCTCTGATAAATATTCATTCCACAAACTTGTGTTAAGTACCCTACTTGCCAAGCAGTAGGGTCCCAGGAATGAGTAGGAATTACTCCTGCCCTGTAGATACTGTTCTCGGATAACCGAAATACCACGGAGTAAGTGCGCTGATGGCAGAGAAAGGTATCAAGTCCATTCCAAAGGGGAAGGCAGCTTCTCCTCTGGCTGTTCCAGAATCTTCTTTCCTCAGCCTGTCACCCAGTCATAGCAGACCAGTTTGCCGGGCAGGCACTTTGATTCTAATTTAGCCATCTGGACAGGCACACACTGTAACCTACATCCCACGGCCTGTGTGAGCTCATCGCACTCCATCTGGTGATCACTTTTGTGCTCTCAAACGCCTGAGGAACTGGTCTTTATGAAGCACGCTCTGCACATGTCCAAAGCCTGTCCACAAGAGACCGCAGCCATGGGATGGGGGGGGGGGGGTGCTTGCTGGTGCACAGGTGGAGGACTGGAGAGGGGCGGCCTCCTGGCTGTGCTGGCATAGCCTAACTTTCCAGGGCCCAGGGCTGGCCTTGCGGCTGTCCCTGTCCGGTCCTCATGGCTGTCATTGTCTCTATAGGCTCACAGTACCCCGTGTTCCGCTGCGTGCACAGAAACACCCACGAAGAGGTTCCTGAGAGCTACTGCGACTCGAGCATGAAGCCGACCCCCGGGGAGGAGCCCTGCAGCCTCTCCCCCTGCCCTGCCTTGTAAGACCCTCATGGCAGCCATGGGCGGGTCTCTGGGGGGGGGCGGTCATGGGGTCTAAACTCTGGGCCTGGGCGCTGTCCCTCAGCTCTTCCTCAAGGCGAGCGCTCTACCCCTTGAGTCACAGCGCCACTTCCAGGTTTTTCTGCTTATGTGGTGCTGAGGAATCGAACCCAGGGCCTCATGCATGCAAGGCAAGCGCTCTACCACTGAGCCACCTTCCCAGTCCCACGAGCGGGTTTCTCAACCAGTCCAAATGTGGTTTAGAAACATAGGACTATGGCCTGGAGATGTGGCTCAAGTGACAGAGAGCAAATTCTGAGGGTGGGGGGGGAGGAGAAAGAAGTGGGAAGGGGAGGAGAGGAGAAAAGAGGAGAGGGGAGAGGAGAAAGGAGGAAGGGGGGCTGGGGATGTGGCTTAGTGGTAGAGTGCTTGTCTAACGTGCATGAAGCCCTAGGTTCGACTCCTCAGTACCACATAAAACAGAAAAAGCCGGAAGTGGCACTGTGGCTCAAGTGGTATGGCACTAGCCTTGAGCAAATGAAGCTTAGGGACAGTGCCCAGGCCCTGAGTTCAAGCCCCAGGACTGGCAAAAAAAAAAAAAAGAGGAAAGAAGAGAGGGAGGCGGGAGGGAGGGAGGGAGGGAGGGAAGATGGGAAGGAGGATGAGAGGGAGGGAGGGAGGGAAGGCGGGCTGCTTGGCAAACCATCTGCCTCTCAGCCAAGCATGGGACCTGGTGGCTGCTCAGACAGCCAACCTGCTCTTTGGAGAATGGAAGCAAGCAGGAGAGAATGGGGGTTCGGCAGCCGGCCATGACCCCCCCTGCTGACCCAGGCTCTGTCCCTCTCACCCTGGTGCCTGGCCAGCTGGGACATCGGCGAGTGGTCGGAGTGCAGCAAGACCTGCGGCCTGGGCCTGCAGCACCGCCAGGTGCTGTGCCGCCAGGTGTACGCCAACCGCAGCCTCACGGTGCAGCCCTACCGCTGCCAGCACCTGGAGAAGCCAGAGACCACCAGCACCTGCCAGCTCAAGATCTGCAGCGAGTGGCAGATCAGGACCGACTGGAGCTCGGTGGGTCCCTCCAGCCTCAGCCAAGGGGGACAGTCCTCAGGGCACCCCGGGGTGGGGGCAACACAGGGTGCCCACACACCGCAGAGTGCATTCGCTTGCTCATGTGCACCACCCACCATTTCCACAAGGGGGCACTGTGGGCTCCCAGGCCTTCGGACCTCACCAGCAGAGCCAGCTCCTCCCCATTTTGCTCTTTCCGTTTCTAGATGGGTAAACGGAGGCACGGGGAAGGTTCCATGCAAGAGGCCTGAGAGAAATGGGTTGGGGTGTTTCCTAGGACTCGGATCCCCCCCCCCCCTCCTTGCCCCCAGGTCACTATGCAGGGTCTGTCACCTGCTGGGGACAGGGCACTGACCCAAGCTTGTGTGCTCTAGTGCTCCGTGCCCTGCGGGGTGGGGCAGAGGACCCGCGTGGTGAGGTGTGTAAGCAACCTCGGGGACGTGGTGGATGATGAGGAGTGCAACATGAAGGTGCGGCCGGGCGACATCGAGAACTGCGACGCGGGCCCCTGTGCCAGGAGCTGGTTCCTCACCGAGTGGAGCGAGAGGGTGAGTGTCCCCGTGTCCCCACGCTCCCTGTGTCTCCGCAGACAGACCGAGGCCTCCCAGGCGGCCGCCTTCCAACCCTCAGTGATGGCCAAGTGTCACCTCAGGTGAGGTTCAGAGTTCAGGCCTAGCCATCACTCAGGGCCAAACACAAAGTCAGTGGTAGCCTTGGAGCTTTCCTCCACTCGACCTGCCTTTCCTTGTGTTTTCCTGGCAGTACTGGGGAACTGGCACTAGCTAGGCAGGTGCTTGGCCGCTTGTACCTCACCCTTAGCCCTTTTGGCTTTGGTTAATTTTTTCCACAAAATAAAAATAGGATCTGGTGCCAGCGCTAGCTGTGAGGACTGTGATCCTCCTGTTTGCACTTCCGGCGTAGCTGGGATGGCAGGTATGGCAGCAGGCGTGCACTGGTAGCACAGTGTGGAGATGAGAAGAACAAAATGTAAGGGTGCTACAGTGTGGAGACAAGGCCCACAGGAGCCCTGGCAGGGTGTCATGCTGCAGGGCATCGGTGTCAGCATGCAGGTGCATGTGGGTGATATCTCTGACCTCCAACAGCACTAGCTGGTACAAGGGTGTGTGGGCCTGTACGGAGGTAAAATTTGCCCTCCACCCTCTGGGGCTCCGGGGCTCCAGCCTGTGTACTGAACAGGAGAAAGGCACACAAACTTCATTTGATGGTAGTATTTTTTTTGTTTTTGTTGTTTTGTCGGTCGTGGGGCCTGAACTCTGGGCCTGGGCGCTGTCCCTCAGCTCTTCAGCTCAAGGCTAGTGCTCTACCACTTGAGTCACAGTACCACTCCCGGCTTTTTTCTTTTTGCTTATGTGGTGCTGAGGAATCAAACCCAGGGCCTCATGCATGCAAGGCAAGCGCTCTACCACTGAGCCACCTTCCCAGCCCCTGATGGTGGTATTTTTTTAATGTGGGATGGAGGACTTTCACAGGAAAGAAGTCGCTGGTCTCCAGGGCTTTAACAAAGGAAAATAAAGTGCGGAGATCTGGCTAGACAGAGAAGGGCAATGAGAATGACAGAGAACTTCCTGGGTTCGCCACTGGGGGGCAGTGGTCTTTGATTAATGCTCATCCCCACCACTGGGTGACGCCCTAGCTGCATCATCTCTGTGGCTTTTGATCTTGTCCATGCACTGGGTGCTGGCGGCCTTCAAGCAAGAACCTCTCTGAGCACTTCCTGCTGGGGGAGGGGAGGAGGAGGGAGGCCTACCCTGCTCTGCAGGCATCACACTCTGACTTTTTCCACTGGGAGACAATCTTTAAAAACTAGACAGCAGCATGCAAAGATGGAGGTGTTAGTAAAGCGACAGGGTGATCAGGGTCTCCTTCCTTTTCTCACCTTTCTTTATAGTTCTGTTGGCTTTGTCTATGGTACAAAGGGTAACGTTAAAGCAGGGGTCACCGCGGGAAAGAGGCAGAGATGGCTGTGAGACATGTCCCTGGCACACAGAGACTCACAGACAATCCCTTAGTCCCTGTCCTAGACAAACCTACCTTCTACAGAGAACAGAGAGGGAGGTAAAAGTCAGGATGGTCACAGAGGAAGAAAGCACAATTCTAAGAGCCGTGACGATTCTGAGATACGAAGAGTGCCTTGCCCAGGGCGGTCTAGACAGCTTCACTAGAAGAGATGGTGTCGGAGCCGAGCCTCCATGGACTCTGGCATCTCCTGGTGAGAGGGAACAGCATTTCAGCCAGAGGACCAGCCTGCACGAGGCCTCTGAGCATGGCACATCCAGGCAAGAGCCAATGAGAGGAGGGGGGGACAGGCTCATGCCTGTCATCCCAGCTACTCTGGAGGCTGAGATCTGAGGGTCAAGGTTCCAAGCCAGCCTGCGCAGGAAAGGCTGTGAGATTCATCTCCAATGAACCACCACCAAAAAGCTGGAAGTGGAGCTATGGGTCATGTGGTCAAGCACCAGCCGCAGTACCAGCACACACACACACACGAAAGTTACGTAATATTCAGGGAGGTTGGGGGACAGTGTGGTGTTTGTACTTGACGTCATCTGGGGGGGACGGGCTCCTCTCACACCCCCCTCCTGTCTCAACAGTGCTCAGCCGAGTGCGGGGCCGGAGTACGCACTCGCTCCGTCCTGTGCATGACCAGCCACGTGAGCAGCCTGCCTCTGGAGGGCTGTGGAAACAACCGGCCGGCAGAGGCCACGCCATGTGACCACGGGCCCTGCACGGGCAAGGTGGAGTGGTTCTCGGGGAGCTGGAGTCAGGTGAGTAGGGGCCCGGCCGAGAGGCGCTGGGCAGCCTCAGCCTGCGTGGAGGGGCGACGCAGACTGGATCCCATCAACGCTAGCAAGGGGAGGGGAGGGGGGAGCAGGCTGTGTGTGCCACTTTCTGGGGATGGGGGGGGTGTACAAAGAGATTGGCAGAGGCCCTGTTGGTGGCTTGAACCTACGATCGCCCTGGGAGGCAGATTCTGGCTCTTCTGGTGACGGGTGACTTGATTTCGTTCTGTGTCTTCATGCAGACAGAACTGATAACGAAGGCTGTTTGATAATGACTTTAAAATTTTTTTTTAAATCCAGAAGCAATTAGGGGCTGGGAAGGTGGCTTAGTGGTAGAGTGCTTGCCTGGCATGCATAGAACCCTGGGTTCGATTCCTCAGTTCCACATATACAGACAAAAGCCAGAAGTGGTGCTGTGGCTCAAGTAGTAGAGTGCTAGCCTTGAGCACAGAGAGGTTCAGGGACAGTGCCCAGGCCCTGAGTTCAAACTCCAGGACTGGCAAAAAAAAAAAAAAAGCATGAGAGCTGAGTATGGCGGCTCAGCCTGTAATCTCAGCTTCTTGGGAAGCAGACGTCAGGGTTGCTTGGCCCCTGTGGGCCAGCAGGGGTCGCTGTCCTGTGTCCAGAGCGTCTGCTTGTGTGAGTCCCTGCACAGGTGTGCGGGCTCAGAGGTTAATCTGCTCACACTCCCAGAGCCTCCTAAGAGCCAGAGGATCGGCCATGGCTTTAACCTGGAGATGTCTCACTAAGGGACAGAAGGGACATGGCCAGAAGCCAGTGTCCCCTGGAGGGAGTATGGGCGCTGACTCCACTCGGTGGACAGAGCTGTCAGGAAACCCGGAATCCACTGCAGCTTCTTCCCTGCGGACCTGGCCATGTCCCCCAGGGCTGTGCCCCGCTGAGTGGTCACCACAGTCCTGTCCCCATCTGTCCCTGCCCCGCTCTCCTCAGTGCTCCGTGGAGTGCGGCAGCGGGGTTCAGCAGAGGGAGGTGATCTGCATGCGGAAGGACGAGGATGCCTTCGTGGTGCTGGATCCCCAAGAGTGCTCCTCCCTGGAGCGGCCCCCCAGACAGCAGCCCTGCCGCCGCCAGCCCTGCGGGGCCACCTGGTTCAGCACCGAGTGGAGCGCGGTGAGTCCCAGCATGCTTTGCACAGGGCCTCTGCTGCAACTACTCACCAGGCCCCACCCACCGGGGCCTTGCCTGGACCATGGAGAAGCCCACACGTACCAGGCCCATCCCTAGACCACAGGGCGGTCTATACACACTAGGGTGGTCGGGCCTAGGCTGTCCACAGAACAGTTTACCTCCCCTATGGCAGTCTACTGCAGGGAGTCACTGCCAATCTTGATTTCTACATGGTAGAAATCCTCAGGAAGGTGGGGAATGTGGCTTAGTGGTAGAGCACTGGCCTAGCATGCATGAAGCCCTGGGTTCGATTCCTCAGCACCACATGAACAGAAAAAGCCAGAAGTGGCGCTGTAACTCAAGTGGTAGAGTGTTAGCCTTGGGCAAAAGAAGCTCAGGGACAGTGCCCAGGCCCTGAGTTCAAGCCCCTGGACTGGCAAAAAAAGAAAAGTTCTCAGGAAGCAACTCTGCTAAGATGAGTGCTATCTCAGTCATGATGATGATCTTCCCCGGGGGCATGGCTCAGGTGATAGAAGCGAGCCATCTGTACCTGGCTTGACCCTGATTTTTAAGGGGAAAAAAAATGATTGAAAATTTATGAGATTCACAAGACAAGTAAAAATAGGGCCAATGGATGTGTATTTAAAAATAAGGACCAGGTGCTGGTGGCTCACACCTGTCATCCTAGCTACTCAGGAGGCTGAGATCTGAGGATCAAGGTTGAAAGCCAGCCCAGGCAGGGAAGTCCATGAGACTCTTACCTCCAATGAACTACAAAAAGCCAGAAATGGCTGGGCACTGGTGGCTCATACCTGTAATCCTAGCTACTCAGGAGGCTGAGATCTGAGGATCGCAGTTTAGCCTGGGCAGGAAAATCCCTGAGACTCTTATCTCCAATTAACCACCAGAAAACCGGAAGCGGCACTGTGGCTCAAGTGATAGAGTGCTTGCCTTGAGCTGAAGAGCTCAGGGACAACACTCAGGCCCAGAGTTCAAGCTGCTACAATCGACCCCCCCCCCCAAAAAAAAAAAAAGACCAGAAATGGAGCTGTAGGTCAAATGGTAGAGTGCTAGCCTAGAGCACAAACGTTCAGGAGCAATGCCCAGGCTCATAGTTCAATCCCCAGAACCAGCAAAGAAACAAAAAGATAATCGGATACTATTGCTTGTTCACTTAGGTGTAGCAGTGGTAGGAATGGAAGGATCCTTGGTTGGAGACAGAGGACAGTTTGGGGGGGGGGGGGGGGAGGCGGTGGAGATGGGACACGGGTGGCCTGGTTGATGGCAGTGTGGCTGTTTCTCCCAAGTTCAGCATCCTTAGAGATGTTCGAGATCGCCCAGCCCACTCCATGGGCCCCCACCCCGTGGACATGATCTAACTTCTTCCCTCGATGCCTCCAGTGCTCCAAGACCTGCCAGGGTGGCTTCCGGGTCCGGGAAGTACGCTGTCTGTCAGATGACATGACCCTCAGTGACCTCTGCGACCCCCACCTGAAGCCAGAAGAGCGAGAGTCCTGTAACCCTCAGGACTGCCTCCCGGAAGTGGGTGAGTGGCGCCCGGTGCCCAAGGGCCACGGTTTGTTCAGCTCTGTGGAAAGTCCTCCAGGGTGGACACGCCAGGGGTGCATGACCCCACGTTTCTCCCAGGGTTCAGGAGGTCACAACAGCAGCAGATTCCCGGCTCTATAGTTTATAACACGTCGTTGCATGGAAGGGAGAGGGAGAAAACTAGGAAAGATTGGGGCTGGGAAGGTGGATCCGTGGTACAGTGTTTGCCTTGCATGCATGAGGCCCTGGGTTTGATTCCTCAGCACCACATAAGCAGAAAAAGCCAGAAGTGGCGCTGTGGCTCAAGTGGTAGATCGCTAGCCTTGAGCTGAAGAGCTGAGGGACAGCGCCCAGGCCCAGAGTTCAGGCCCCATGACCAACAAAAGGAAAAAAAAGGAAAGATCCCAAAGAAACTGCTTTAGACACATGTCTTGGGGAAATGCATTGCAATCGGTAACAACACAGTGTCCACCAGGCTGAGGAAATAAACATTGAAAGACTTGCATGCATGCGGGCACACCAAAATGTTCATTGGCATGAGCGTAACCCACACAGCTGAAACTTAATTTAAATTTGGGTGCACGATCGTTGCTCACATTGTTTGGTGCAAGGTTGCATAAGGCAACTTGGAAGAGTCGTGTACAGAGAGTTGCCTGCTTGTCTCTGGCGTGGAGCGGTCATGGTTCATTACAGACAGCAGGACTTTCCATTTCCTTGGGAGTGATGATCGAAAGCGGGGCATGACGGCCGTAACCCATTCAGGCTTGCTGAAGGCCTGTTACTCAGCCCCAGACGTGTCAAAGGTTGCTGACTAATAGGATATGATAAGAGAGGTGTTTTTTCCTTTTCTTTTTCTACCACTCTAGGTTATTGACATTTGTCTGTGGTGGCTTTTCAAAGCCGGGAGGTGGGGAGGGGGGCGGGGAGAGCGTTAGCCGTCAGTTATATAAAATCCACTCAAACTACACAATTAACAAAATAGGATATAGAGACAAAATTTGGTTGTCTTTGATCTGGCTCAAAATTGTACTGTCACTGCTAAAGCAATTGTGGCACATAACTATAATATCAGCTACTTAAGCAAAAAGTAGGAGGATCACTGTCCAAGGCTGGCTAGGCAAAAGCGTGAGATCCTGTCTGAAGCAAACAAAGAAACAAACAATAAAACGAAAAAGCCAGAGGACTAGAGTTTTGGTTCCAGTAGCAGAGTACTTATTAAGCTTGAAGCCTGAGTTCAGTCCTCACTACCTCCAAGAAATAAATAGGACAAAAACTTTTAAGAGAAACTATAGGAGAAATTTTTTTTCCAAGTAAGGATTTCTTAAAATGAAAAACAAAAATACGGACTACAAAGGAAAATGCTACCCTATCCATTACACTAAAATATGTAATTTCTGCTTATCAAACACCACCATAAACAAAGGGATAAGAAAATCCACAGAATGGGCGAGGATCCTTCCAGCCCAGTGAACAACAAAGATTTGGCTCTGTTCTGTATACAGGGTTTCATGAATCATTTTTGTAAAAATGTATCTAAATTAGGAAATAGGAGATAGAAAGAGCATTTCTCAGCAGGGACTTAAATACTACTCTGTGTGTGATGTAATTCCCAAGCTTCTGGGCTGATCGTGTGGTCACTAGCTCAGCCAAAATCACCGCATGGTGGGGGAAAAAATACAACATGTATTCTGCAAAGGGCATAAACAGTCACCCCTGGTTCAGAGAGAGAATCTGGGGAGCAATTCAGCAAGACTGAGAAACAAAACTATGTAAAAGGCTTCACTTACAATAGGAAAGAAGATTGGAAAGCCAGACACTGGTGGCTCACACCTGTCATCCTAGCTACTTAGGAGGCTGAGATCTGAGGATCACAGTTCAAAGCCAGCCGGGCCAGGAAAAGTCTGTAAGACTCTTATCTCCAATAAATCACCGGAAAATCAGAGGTGTGGCTCAAAGTGGTAGATTGCTAGCCTTGGGACAGCACCCAGGCCCTGAATTCAAGCCCCATGGGGGGGGGGGGGGGTTGATCCAGGTATGCTGCTCATATCTATAATCCTCAGGATGCTGAGGATCGAAGTTCAAAACCAGCCCAAGCAGACAAATTCATGACATCCTTATTCTCAAAATAACTACCAAAAAGCCCAACGTGGAGCTGTGGCTCAAGTAGTAGAGCTGTGAATGAAAAAACTAAAGGTGCGTGGGAGGCCCTGAGTTCACACCCCTGTGGTTGGCAGAACAAGAAAGCAAAGAATGCAGGAATATTTAAGAATGACAAGCCTCACTGGGGGTTCTGTCACCTGTAGGAGGTGCCCCCTCCCTATCTAAAGGGCTCTGGGCCAGGATTTTTTTTTGAAGGGGGGGGGAGGTTCTTTGGCTGGGCCTTTTGTGGGCTTGAACTCTGGGCCTGGGCGCTGTTCCTCAGCTCTTCAGCTCAAGGCGAGCACTCTACCATTTGAGCCACAGCGCCACTTCCGGTTTTCTGGTGGTTCATTAGAGATCAGAGTCTCACAGACTTTTCCTGCCCGGGCTGGCTCTGAACCTCGATCCTCAGATCTCAGCCTCCTGAGTAGCTAGGATGACAGGCGTGAGCCACCAGCATCTGGATGGCTCAGGATCTTTTCTGACACCCATGTTCCCTCCCCTGCTCCCCTGCAGATGCAAGCTGCCAGGACAAGTACTTCAACTGCAACGTGGTGGTGCAGGCACGGCTGTGCATCTACCAGTACTACCAGGGCGCCTGCTGTGTTTCCTGTGCCCGTGTGGCACGCCGGGCCGGCTCCCCGGGGCGCAGGAAACGCAGCCCAGAGGGCAGGGCCGCGCCACTGCCCTCAGACAGCCGCGGGCCTGGCACCGACAAAGCCACCACCACCCCTGCCTTCTGAAGCTCCCCGCGTGGTCCAGGTGCTGTGTGCACAGTACTCTTAATGGCTCCCTAGAGCCGGGGCCTAGGTGCCCGGCCACCGCCAACACAGCCCTCTCCCCATCCTGCTACGCAAGCACTGCCTGGTCCCCAGGCCCACCGGCCTGATCAAAAGCACCCACTGGGTTATGACGAGGGCAGCGCCTCCTGTCCTGGGCCCCTTTATGTGGTGCTGGGGCCTGAGCCGGCCATGCGTGCACCATGCCCCCCCCGACAGGGGCAGCAGTCACAGAGAGCCAGGCTTTGTGGCACCGGGGGCCACGGACGCCACCCCAAGATGGGAGGACTGAGCATTACCCCACTCCACGGACAAGGCCACGGAGACGCTGCTCAGGGGCAGAGCCAAGGGCCCACCGCCATGGTCCACGCACAGCCTCGCCCACCAACCAGCCACGACAGAGTGAAGGCGGCTGCTTTGCTGACCCAGAGGTGGATGGAGAAGATGGCCGGCCCCGAACCAAGTCCAACACCAGCACTGGTGTTTTAGGTGTCTTTAGATGTCCCTTCTCCCTTCTGTGACAGAGTCACGGGGCCTTTCTGATGGCTCTGCAGATCTTACCAAAGTCCGTCCTCAAGCCAACGGTCCCAGGAGACAGGAGAGCCACAGGGGTCCCTCCTGTCCAGGGACAGGATCCCCACTTCCCTGCCATCCCCCCTCCCACGCCTTACCCCCTTCTTCCAACACAGCTGTGGTTCCCCCAGTTCATTCCTGTTGGTGTTCACCAATCCTGGCTGTTTTCCTAGATTCTCATTCCAGCTCCTGTCTTCTAGCACAGCTCACCCTGCAGGGCCTGCGAGCAGCGGAGGGGAAGCCCAGAAACCCGCTGTACCCCCACATACAGCACCCGTGTCTCCCTGTCTCTCCCAGGGTCTGGGCTGCCTCCTCCTCCTCCTCCGGCCTCACCACCTGCCCTTCATGGGTTGAAAGGTGGAATTTAAATTTATATCTTGATACTGTTTTATATTCCTGAAGCCGGCACTGCCTCAGTCTCTACTCTGAATTTCACAACTAGGTAAAGGAAAGCTATGGTGTTTTGTTTTGTTTTGTTTTTTTCCTCCCAAAGATCAACAAAGCACACGAGTGGCTCACGCCTGTAATCCCAGCTACTCAGGAGGCTGGGATGTGAGGATCGTGTTTTGAAGCTGGGTTGAGCTGTGGTTCTCTGTTGCAGAGATCACAAGCAACATGGTCAGGGCTCTGCCGGTCCAGCCACACTGCACCTGCGCAGCAGACTCAACATGACTGCCTGCCCAGGGCCTATACTAGCATGGAGGCCAGGCCTAGACCTGGCCAGGCCATTCACTGATCTCTCTAGTGCACCTGCGCCGGCACAAACCAGTTCCATCCTAGGCCTCCTGAGCCTCCTCATTCCTGGTTCCATGAAGACCCCGGGGGACCAGGCCAAAGTGATCACGAGATGGTGGAAACATCCAGACACTGGGGCCCTTGGCCTCAGCACTACTGGAACCTTCCAGATGCAGAGCCCTGGCCTCAGTGAACATAAATGCCCCCACAGCCCCCTCCATCTAGTCTGACAGAGGATTTGTTTTGTTCTCACTTACTCTTTTGTTCTTTGCAAACACGAGGTGTTTGTGGGGAGGGGGGTGGGGGTTCTGTGCTGTGCCCATGGAAGCTCCCTGGCGGGTTCATGGTGGATTTGAACCCCTGCGCCTCCTCTCAAGGCGCCCTCCGGGTCTGTGCCTGGATCATTGCCCCCTTCCTGTCTTCAATCTTTTTTTTTCTTCTGCCAGTCCTGGGGCTTGAACTCAGGACCCGGGCGCTGTCCCTGAGCTTCTTTTGCTCAAGGCTAGCGCTCTACCACTTGCGCCACAGCACCACTTCTGGCTTTTTCTGTGTATGTGGTACTGAGGAATTGAACCCAGGGCTTCCTGCATGCTAGGCAAGCACTCTACCACCAAGCCACCTTCCCAGCCCCTGTCTTAAATCTTCCTCCTTTTCTCCTTCTTCCTCCTCCCCCACCCCACCCCACTTCTCCCAGTAGCTTGCTGGCAGCCGGCACAGGCGGGCTGGCCGCATCAGGGAGGGCTGGGAGGACAGGGCAGTACATTCCCTCTGCCGACACCGCAGGCCCAGCCTGGCCCAGGCCCTGGGCGACCTCCATGTCTCCTTGGTAGTGTTAAATTATTACATAAAGGTGGGAGGAGAGGTGGATTATGGGTAAATGCGATCTGTTTTCGGTAAAAGTGACAACTATTTTTGTGTATGACTAATTTATTTTTATTGTAAAAATGCAATAAACCTGCTTCGTTCACGTGTGTGTGTGTGTGTGTGTGTGTGTGTGTGTGTGTGTGTGTTTTCTCTCTGGTCCTGATTCAGCCTTCTTCCCAATGCAGAAAACACAGCCATTTCTTTAGGGCTGGTAGAGTGCATCGGAGTTGCCTGTGCACCTGTTCGTGTGGGGAATAGGGAGAGGAAAACTGTTTTTGCAGCATTTTCTAACTGTGTCAGCCCTTAGGGTGTTCAAGCCTCCCCCAGGCAGGATCCGGGAGTTCACAATGCTGATCTGTACCCCAGATGACTCCGCCCATTATCAACATTGAGGACTTGGGGCCAGGAGCTGTGGTTCATGCCTGTAATCCCCGCTAACTGGGTGGAGATCCGGAGACTCACAGTTCAAGGCCAGCTCTGGCAAAAGTTCAAAAGATTCCCCATCTTAACCAGTAAGCCAGGTGTGGCGGTATGTGCTAGTACCTCAGCTATGGAGGCCAGACTGGGTCTACATCATTAAAAAATGATGATATCACAAAGGGCTGAGGGGGAGATGGATCAAGTGGAAGAGCACCTGGCTGGCAGTACAAGGCCAAAACAAAAATAAGAATGAGACATTGCAGTCTGCAAGCATCTGCTCTGTGGGACATCACTTTAGACCTGGTTCTCACTTCATCCCCAGTAAAGCGCACTCCCTCTTTCCCTCCTCCCGGGGCCCCCTGTGCTTTGGGGAGGCAGATTTTGGGAGCAGATCCACAGGGACTGCTCAGGACGGCCTGGGTCCTTCAAGCTGGCGGACGGGCAGGGTGGTTTTGCATTTTTGTTTTGTGACATTTCTTTTGATTTTTAAAATGATCACTTTTGGGCTGGGAAGGTGGCTCAGTGGTAGAGTGCTTGCCTCACATACATGAAGCCCTGGGTTTGATTCCTCAGTTCCACAATACACAGAAAAGGCTGGAAGTAGTGCTGTGGTTCAAGTAGTAAAGTGCTAGCCTTGAGCCCAGGCCCTGAGTTCAAGCCCCAGGAATAGCAAAAATAAATAAATAAAATGATTACTTTTGACCCCACTGTGATCCAAAACTTTCACAAAGGCAAGCTGACTAGACTCGTGTGAATTAATCTCCTTTGATTTCACAACTTCGATTTTACAGCAGGATAATAGAACATGAAAGGATTTCATTCCTTGGAGGATGTCATGATCACTGTTTTCTCTAGAAGTTACCGGTGCCACTCAAGTGTGAACAGCACTGGGGTCTCTAGAAGCATGAAGCAGCCAGAGATTCACACAGCTGCGCCGCCGCCGCCATAGGGCCTAGCCTTGCACTGGTCCCCACTGGAGGAGAGCGGGCTGTGATCAGGGCACTGATGGCCCAGGGCTCTCTGCGAGCCCCTGGCTGAAGCTGGAGGCAGAGCTAGCCAGATGGCCACACTGCCTGACACAGTCCGATCTGCAGCTGCAAAGTTCCTGGCTCTGCAGGCCCGGCCCCCTCCAGCATACCACAGAGCTCCCAGGTGCTCAACATCAGCCATCAATCTCTAAGCCACCTGCAGGTAACACACAACTTCCTGGCTCTCAGGCCCAGGCCTGGGTTCTCAACTGCTCCCAGTCTGCCCCCTGCTCCCAGTGAGCTTTGGGAGTGGATCAGCTGACTATCTGTCCCACAGCCACACTTCCTCTTCCTTCCACGAAGTGTGACGTCACAAAGGTGACTGACAGGCGCGGTTCAGATTCTAGCTTCATGTGAACAGCCCATCTCCCCTTCCTCCCCCCAGCTGCTTAGCTCAGTAAATGTCCTTCCTGCTCACTTCCCCACGCCCCCAGTCTGGGTAACCTGATCCTTAAGGCCATTCAACACACATGCATGCACACACACTCATGCAGACGCATGTGCATGCACACACGGGAACCATGGCCATCCACAAAACACAGCTGGTACCAGCATGGCTTGCAATAAGCATCGTTTAGGTGCTTTGATAGAGAAAAACAAACTGTGTTAGCCTTTGCCAGGAATCCTCTCTGAGCATTTGAATCCTCTGTTGGAGTCGTCAGCATGGGCTGATAACGTGTCTTCTGAAAGTTCAGATCCCAGCACAAGTGGTTGAAGTGGGAACTGGCATCTAGATGTTCAGATGAGATGGTGCCTCCCTCTGGTGGATGTGCTTGGAATTGCAAGTATGTCAAATCAGCCTTGATTCCCTATTTTTATTTTTATTTTTTATTTTATTTTTACCCCTTAGTGAACTTGGGTGGCCACTGATTCAGGCCTGAACCCTCACTGGTGAGGTTTGTCCATCGCTATATCCTTATGGCTGCCATCCAGAGAAGTGATTTGACCAGGCCACAGCTGTGTGGGGGTAAAAGGGGGGCCAGAGGACAGCCGCTCCCAAACAGGAAAATTCCAGCTCATGCTGAGAATTTTGATGTTCTTTGTGCACCTCTAGGGCTTGAACTCAGGGCCTCTCATTCTTGCTTATTTTGCTCAAGACTGGCACTCTACCGCTTGAGTCATACCTCCACTCCCAAATTTTTGCTGCTTAATTAGAGATAAAGTTCGCCTGGATTTGTCAGCCCTGGCTGGCTTTGAACTACGATCCTCAAACCTCAGCCTCCTGAGTAGTTAGGATTACAGGAGTGAGCCACTGGCATGAACGTGGCTTGTGGTAAGAATTCTACCATGGTGTCTATAGCACACTCAGCTGGCAAATGTGTATGGCAAGGAATCCTTCTCTTGGAGGGCTGAGGAGGAGGGAGGGAGAGACCCAGAAACCATCCTGGTCCTTGCCAGCCTTCGCCAGCTTTCCCACGTGAGCCAAACAAAGAGGTGGCCCAGGACTGGGTACTTTGTGTCTGCTGGCCCTTTGGGATGGCTCAGGCCTTTTAACCCCACCCCACCCCACCCCCGGGGGAGGGGGGGAAGCAGAGTCCATGAGTCCAGGGCTGAGAGCAATATCTGATTATTCCTAAATGTTATCTCAAAGAGAAGAAAGAGGCTTTTTATTAAGAACATTCCTGCTGGTGTCTGCCTTCCTTCCAGCTCTAGAAAAAGCAGCCATTGATGCGGTCCATCCAGCCAAGGAGAAAGGCGTCCTATGATCTCCGGCCAGATATTCTGGGACGTGGAGGCCAGCTGGAGACGCTGCTTTGTACTTAGTTTTGTACTTAGTTTCCCGTGTCGGAGTGGCTGTCGCCGCCCACTGCAAGAAAAATGTAATGTAGGCAGCTGCCTGCCGACAGGTGCTTTGCTAAAATCGCTGCATGAGCAGCCGTGTCATTACATTCCCATGAACTTCTCCAGGGCCTAGGCTCCCCTGCACTTAGCACCACAGTGGAGACAGCCCAGTATTTTTAAAGAAATCCCCAAAGAAGCCAGGTGTTGGTAGTGCACACCTGTAATCCCAGCTGCAGAGAAGGCACTGGTAGGCAGAGGAGAGCAATCTGAAGCCAGACTGGGCAAGAGCATGAGGCCATATTTGAAAAACAAACTAAAACTGAAGAGGGTGACTTGGGGGTGTGGGGGGGGGGGGGCATTCAAGTGCTAGTCTAGCAAGAGGCCCTGAAGGCAAATTGCAGTACTGGTGAACCAGTGCTGAGAACAGACTTTACCCCAAACCTGAAGTTGCAGGAATGAGTGTAGGGCCAGCCTGCTAACCTGACTGGCAATGGGCCATTTCAGAGCAGAAGAGCAGGGCTTCCCTAGGCCTAGACAGGTGGGGCCTGGGGAGGGGAGGGTACGGGGAGAGGGCGGGGAAACAGCGGCTTTGCCCTGCAAGGCTCTAAGAAGGAGGCCACATCTGCGGCCTGTATCAGCAATCACCTTCTTGTCCCATCGCCACCCCCAAAGCCTCTGGGGAGTCAGCGGAAGTTGCTGACCTGTCCCCTGGGGGAATAACTGTATTAGTAGCAAGGTGGCCTCTGGTGGCTTTGTCAGCAGATTCGAGGCTTTGAGCTGAGTAAATCCTTTGGTGTCTGCCCTAGCAGCTGGCAATCACAGATTGAGAAGGACCTCCTCCCCCCTTCCCCCCCCCCCACCAACCCTCAACCTTAGAGCTTGGCTAGATTCTGGCTCCTCCCCAATGCTGAGGCTTCTGTGGGGCGGAGCTAGGCCTGGGATTACAGGTGTGGGCTACAGATCAGTCACTGAGAAGACCGGCTTTGCAGTCCAACTGCAAAACAGGAGGAAATGTAGACTTCCAATGGAATAAATCCCCCCACTCAGCCAAGCTCAAGCTTTACCCACTCCTAGAAACTTCCATCTGCAGGTTCCCCCACCCCACCCCACCCTCACACCCACACCCTTTGCTTCACCCCTCCCCTTTCCTCTAATGTGTCCCCTGAAGAAGGAGCATCTTGCACCTGGTGATCCCCAGGCCCCTCCACCCTCACCCCTCCCAGTTCCTCCTCCACACGCCCTCTCCACCCAGCGCAGCCTTCCAGCTGCTAAAGCCAGAGGAAATGGAGCCGGCACTTGGAGGCCAAAGGCCAGCTGTCGGCCTCCATCCCCACATTACTGGGCAGCTTCAGCCTAGGCAATCAGCTGCCTGGGGCCGGCCAGGAAGACAAATGGGGCCAGGAAGAACAGGATCTTAGAACAAGGCCTCGTTTCCCACTGCGGCTCTGTGTACCTTGTCCCCAGGTGCCCCCTGCATCCTCGGGCTCAGGGACAGGACGATGGGCCAGCTGGGCCCTTTGGACTCGAGCTGGGGACACGTTGGGCGCAGACCGTGTGGTCCTTCAGCAAGGACAGAGCTCCACCCCCTTTTCCAAGGTGCCCTTGGCTTCAGTGGCTCCAGTAGGCCCCTGGGAAGGGAAGGACAGAGACCTCCATTGCCAGGCCTCCATCTTCCAGGCTCCAGAAAGTGGATCAGCTCACCAAGCCCAGAGCTGACTTCAAACCCCAGCCGTGCTTCTCTGCCACAGCAAGAGCGAACCCCACACACACCATGCCACCCCCTTCTGTCCCTCAACGCCCTGATCCTTCCAGAAACTTCATGTACCTTCTAGGCTGGAAGGCCAGGCTTGCTGAGGATGGGGTTTCCCTGACCCCCCAGACCAGCAGGGGTCGTGTTGGGCCTAGAATAGGGTGTGGAGAGGGAGACAGAGAAGCAGAGAAAGGAAAGGGTCTTTTTCAAATGTGGCTCTGACCTCAGTAAAACCAAGAACCCCAAGAAGAAGGAATGACAGCCCAGCACCCTCTTTTCCTCATGCCCTGGCTAAACCCCAGGAGGAACCAGCATGAATTTATAATCACCCAGTTCGCAGCTACTTTGCTCTGAGCACTTGCTCAGAGGGGTTCACACAGGCTCCCGTGGCAGGAGGTCAGCCGGGAGCCCACACGGACACCACCCCCACAGACACCTGCCAGCTTCCTTGTGGGGTCCTATATGAAGAGACTGGTGGAGAGCAGCTCAGGACCCGAGGTGGACTCTATGTATGCAAGGACGGGTGTGCACGTGCACGCACACTCATGTACACTTGTGCATACACACTAGTGCTCTCCTGCAGACACATGCCACTCCCCAGGCAATCTGGAGCCCCGGGGAAAGTGGAACCACACCGAGGCCCTGCCAGGGGACATTGCATGACCAGCAGCTGAGGGCGCTGGGACTTGGGGGACCCCAGAGCTTGCGGGGAGGGGGCTCAGGCAGCAGGGCTCAGGCAGGGCGAAGGTGTGGCCTGCTGATCCCATGGAGACAGTAAAGATTAATGGGATTATAACTGAGTAGGGAGCGGAAGCTGGGGCAGCAGGGAGGTCCAGAAGCTCCGGATTCAGAGAAGAGAGGCAGGGAGGTACAGAAGAGAGAGACAGGTAGACTGAGGCAGCGATCAGCAGCCTCCCACGTGCATCCCCAGGCCAGCAGCGCCATGAGCTCCAGCTCGGCCACCGCGGTGCCTGGCTCCAGGAAAGAGTCTCCAGGGAATTGGAGCCTAGGGGAGGACCCCGCAGGTGCGCGCCCCCCCACCAAGGGTAGAGTCTGGGGGAACAGGCAGGTGGGGCCAACCCTGGGGTGGGGTCTGGGGGGGGTGAGATGGAGCAGGTGGGGCCGGCCTGGGGTGGGGGGAGATGGGGCGGGCCTGGGGTGGGGTTTGGGGGGGAGATGGGGCAGGTGGGGCCGGCCTGGGGGGGGGTTGGGGGGGAGATGGGGCAGGTGGGGCGGGCCTGGGGTGGGGTTTGGGGGGGAGATGGGGCAGGTGGGGCCGGCCTGGGGGGATCCGGGGAAACCCAGCAGCTGTGCCCGCCCTCGCGGAGGCGTTTGGCGGGGGGGGGGGGGGGGGGGGGGGGCAGTACGCACAGCCGGAGCTGGCACAGAGAGGAACGGAGCCACTTAGCCTCGGCCCTGGGGCTGCGCTGGCCAAGCCCAGACCCCGCTCGGGTGGAGCGCACTGGACGGCTGAGGGCGGGCGGGGGGGGGGGGGGGGGGAGGAGGGGAAAGTAAAGGGGGACGGGGTCTGCGCTGGCAGCGGAGCAAGCCTGAGATCCCCACAGGGAGGGGACGAAGGTGGGGAAGTGGAGGCAGGAGTCCGGAGTCCGCGGGGTGACAGGATGAGCGAGGGAGGATGAGGGGGGCTGCGCCGCCGGGCCCGACGCGCCCCGCGCCTTACCCCGCCCGCGCGACGAGGACGTCAGCTAGCCCCGCCCGCGATGCCCCGCCCACGATGCCCCGCCCACGATGCCCCGCCCACGATGCCCCGCCCACGATGCCCCGCCCACGATGCCCCGCCCACGATGCCCCGCCCACGCTTACACCACGCCCACTCATTCTACCACGCCCCCGCCGCCGCATCAGGGCCCCGCCCGCCACACCACGCCCCCACCATGCCCCGCCCACGATTACGCCACGCCCGCCCATCCTACCACGCCCCCGCCGCCGCACCAGGGCCCCGCCCGCCACACCACGCCCCCACCATGCCCCGCCCACGCTGTGGCCACGCCCACCCACCGCCGCCCCGCCCGCTCGCCCCCAGGCGCCGGCCCCCTGCTCCAGTGCCGCGTGTGCGGGGACAGCAGCAGCGGGAAGCACTATGGCATCTATGCCTGCAATGGCTGCAGCGGCTTCTTCAAGAGGAGCGTGCGGCGGAGGCTCGTGTACAGGTGGACCCCTCCCCCGCCCCGTCCGGGTTCCCGCAGGTGTCAGGTGGGGGCGGGCCCTGAGCCCGGACCCATCCCCCTTGTCCGTCCGCAGGTGTCAGGTGGGGGCGGGCATGTGCCCCGTGGACAAGGCCCACCGCAACCAGTGCCAGGCCTGCCGGCTGAAGAAGTGCCTGCAGGCGGGCATGAACCAGGACGGTGAGCAGGGGAGGGGCGAGGGGGCGGCGGGGGGGGCGGGGAGAGCGGGGCGCCGCCCTCACCCCGTCCGCGCCCTCCCGGCCGCCCTCACTCTCCTTCCCTGGTCCTCACCCGCCCTCACCCCTTCCTCACCCCTTCCTCGCCCTGTCCCTGTCCCCACCCTGTCCTCCCAGCCGTGCAGAACGAGCGCCAGCCGCGCAGCCTGGCCCAGGCCCTGGACGGCGCGGACGCCCGGCCCGCGCCCCTGGCGGCCTCCCCGCCCCTCGCAGGGCCCGGGCCGCGGGGCGCCCTGGGCCAGCGCTTCCTGGCCGGCCTGGTCGCCGCGGAGACCTGCGCCAAGCTGGAGCCCGAGGATGGCAAGTGCGGGGCGGGGGGGGGGGGGGGGGGGCGGGGATCCCCAGGGGCGGGGTCCCCGGAGTCCCCAAGGGTGGGGTACAGGGGATCGAAGTCCCAAGGGGCGGGGGTCCCCCAGGGGCGGGGTCACCGTCCCCTCCTCCTCTCGCAGCTGAGGAGAACATCGACGTCACCAGCAACGACCCCGAGCTCCGCTCGTCCCCCTGCGGCCTGGACGGCATCCACGAGGCGTCGGCTCGCCTGCTCTTCATGGCCGTCAAGTGGGCGAAGAGCCTGCCCGTGTTCTCCCATCTGCCCTTCCGGGACCAGGTAGGGCCAGGGCAGCCGCCAGAGATGGGTTCTGTGGTTTCCGGGGTTCTCCTTGGTGGACCCCAGGCCCGCAGCCAGTCCCCCATCAGCACAGAGCCTCGGGGCTGAGTGCCAGGACGGGCGGGGATCTGGCTGCAAGGCAGTGGGGAGCGGACCTCGGATGATCGGGTTGCTCCAGGCCGCTCTGAGGGGCTCAGGCAGCTCTGAGCTCAGGCACTGTCCAGGCTGTCCACTCTCCTGGGCTTCTGCGCCTTCGTGGGTGCCCAGGATGGACCCCACAGGGCCAGATGGTGCCGGACGCCAGGACCTGGGTGGACAGAGCTCAGGAGGCTCTGGGAGCCGGCCTTGGCCTCTTGGAGTTTGAGCTTGCTGTGTGCTCATCGTGGCATGGGCCCACCCTGACACTTGTCCCTCCTGGAGGACAGGTGATTCTGCTGGAAGAGGCGTGGAGTGAGCTCTTCCTCCTGGGGGCCATTCAGTGGTCTCTGCCCCTGGACAGCTGCCCACTGCTGGCCCCTCCTGAGGCCCCTGGGGCTGGTGGTTCTCAGAGCCGGGTGGCATTGGCCAGTGCCGAGATGCGCTTCCTGCAAGAGACCATTGCCCGCTTCCGGGCCCTGGCTGTGGACCCCACAGAGTTCGCCTGCATGAAGGCCCTGGTCCTCTTCAAGCCAGGTATAGTCTCCCATGGAACCTTCCAGAAACTAGGTACTGAGTCTCCCAAGGAACCCCAGAAAGAGTTGGGGGAGTAGTGGGGGAATTCCAGGACTTGTCTCTGCCCCTCCCTCCAATGCCCCGGATGGGTGCAGATGTCAGAGCAGAGGTGAGATCACTCTCTTCCTGGGGTCCATCCTGGGCACCCCCATAAGGAGGCAGAGAGCTCAGGGCCATCTCTCTGCAGAGACCCGAGGCCTGAAGGATCCAGAGAATGTGGAGGCCTTGCAGGACCAGTCCCAGGTGATGCTGAGCCAGCACAGCAAGGCGTGTCACCCCAGCCAGCCCGTGAGGTGACAGAGGTCCCCTCTACCCCGCCCACCTCCCACCCCTGGGCTCCCAGACAAGACAAGATGAGGAGCTCCATTCACTCAGCATCTGTCCGGCTTCTCTAAGCCAGGCCCAGTGCCAAGTCCAAGGAAGGGCCAGAAGGACAGAGCTGCTGCCTTCCCCGAGTGCCCCCAGCACAGGGTGGAAGGGTCGGGGGACCGCCTGGATCTGAAGGAGGCAGAGACTCAATAAGAACTGGGAAGGCTGGGCACTGATGGCTCACGCCTGTAATCCTAGCTACTCAGGAGGCTGAGCTCTGAGGATTGAGGTTCAAAGCCAGCCTGGGCAGGAAAGCCGGTGAAACTCTTATCTCTAATAACCCGCTCAGAAAACTGGAAGTAGCGCTGTGGCTCAAGCGATAGAGCGCTCACCTTGAGCTGAAGAGTTGAGGGACAGCGCCCAGGCAGAGTTCAAGCCCCACTACTGACAAAAAAAAAAAAAAAGAACTTGGAAGAAGGGCAGGGCACACCAGAAGAGAAAATCTTGTTCATACAGGAAGAGGCCATGGGCTGGGAAGGTGGCTCAGTGGTAGAGTGCTTATCTTGCATGCATGAAGCCCTGGGTTCGATTCCTCAGCACCACATACACAGAAAAGGCTGGAGGTGGCACTGTGGCTCATGTAGGTAGAGTGCTAGTCTTGAGCAAAAAGAAGCATTAGGGATGATGCTCAGGTCCTGAGTTCAAGCCCCAGGACTGACAAAAAACAAAACAGAAAACCTCTCAGGAAGAGAGGCCAGCACAGGCTGGTTTCCTAAGTTCAGACCAAGGCAGCAGATTATGCCAGAAAGGCACCTTGGGATCAGCTTGTTGGGTGTTTTGAACTCCTGCCAAACGCCAAGTCTGAGGCGGGAGGCCAGGGAGCACCCTGGAGTCTTTGGGAAGAGGGAATCACACAGGGCTGGACCTGGCTCCCTTTTCCTCCCCCTCCTTCCCTTTTCCCTTTTTCCCCCACCCACTGGCCCTGAGATTTTTGCTTTAGCAAGTGGCGTGTGTGTGTGTGTGTGTGTGTGTGTGTGTGTGTGTGTGTGTGTGTGTGTGTGCCGGTCCTGGGCTTGAACTCAGGACCTCTCTTAGCTTCTTTACTCAAGGCTCTACCACTTGAGTCACAGCTCCATTTCATTGTTTTGCCAATCAACTGGAGGTAAGAGTCTCATAGACGTTCCTGCCCTGGCTGGCTTTGAACCTCGACCCTCAGATCTCAACCTCCTGAGTAGCTGGAATTGGATTGCAACCCCACAATACTGGTTTAGGTCCTCCCCGAATTTCCCCTTGCAGACCTTAGGCTCCTCCTCCCTCCCCTCCTTCCTCCTCTGACTTGTCCTGGGAGGACTCTGTGCCCAGAGCTGGCCATAAGTTGGATGGACAGCATCATCTTTCCTGCTCAGGTTTGGGAAATTGCTCCTCCTGCTCCCGTCTTTGAGGTTTATCACTTCTGAGCGCATCGAGCTCCTCTTCTTCCGCAAGACCATTGGGAATACGCCCATGGAGAAGCTACTCTGTGACATGTTCAAAAACTAGTGGAAGCCAGGCGCCAGTGTTCATGGCTGTAATCCCAGAGACGCAGGATGCTGAGATCTGAGGATCAAGATTTGAAGCCAGCCCTGGCAGAAAAGTCTATGAGACTCTTATCTCCAATTAACCAGCAAAAAAAAGCCATAAGTGAAGCCATGGCTCAAGTGATAAAGCACCAGCCTAGACTGAACAAGCTAGGGGACAGTGCTCAGGCCCTGAGTTCAAGCCCCAGTATTACAGCACAAAAAATATGGAACAGAAGCCCCTCTGGAAACAGTGTCCTGAAGGTAGACATTTTTCCCACCCTTCCACCAGAAGCAATGTCTGTCCATACCCCCTGTCCCCCAAGAAATACAACACTCATGTATTCACTGTGGCCTCATTCATAATAGCCTGGATTAACAGACTGCACTAACAGTGAAGCCGGCTCTAACCAAAGGTGAACCGTGAGTCCTTATGACAACGAGGAGAAACATCCTAGGTGCAAACGTTGAATGAAAGAAGCCAGGCAGAAGACATTCTGGGAACCTGGATCAGAGACATGAGGCCTGGGGTGTCAGGGAGGAGGCTGGTCCCGGGGCAGGGGGAACGCCAACACCATGTCTGGTGTGGATCTAGAACATTCTGCATCCACACAGTCCAGGCACAAGTTGAAAGCAGCTTGGTTTTGAACTCCCCACTCCTGGCATTGTTCTGTTCCTAGGTTTGTCATAAATGCAGTATCCGAGGGGCAAGTCTGAAAAACATCTCTGAGTTTGGGGGGTTAATTTTTTTAATGATATTTCATTGTATAAAGGATTTCAATTGAACGTGTCAGTTTGTGAGGACACGTCTTGCTCAGTGTCACCCCTTCAATCATTCTCCCTCATAACCCCCCAACCCCACTCCCCCCCTCCTGTGACCTGCTTCCATTTCCACACCTATGCACTCAATATTATGACTGCATTCTCCCATCCTCCCCTCTCCCTTTGTCTGCCCCCCCCCCGACCTCACCCCCCCCCCCCCCACCACACACACACACACACCATACCACAAATTCAGCTTCCTGGTGTTCATTTTGTTAAACTGAAGTTCATTGTTCAAAGGACTTATACCATTGGAATCCTGTCCTATGTATGTGTACACCATATTCCAGTCAATATATTCCAGTCAATATATTGTGCTGCATGTTTTCAAATATGGTTATAATTTACATGTAACTTGCATACATGAGAGATACCATGCATTCTTTGTCTAAGCCTGAAAAAAAATGTCATTTCTAGATCTCTAGGTTTTATTTGGTCAAGTGAGGATATTTTAAGACACAATTATCATTCACTATTCTGATTTCAGTGTAATATAAATTTAACATAAAAAGAAATGAGAAAAAAAGAAATAGGATGGCTCAGAATTTTAGGATTGTCTCTCCTAGTTTTGTGAAGAATGTGTTTTGACTCTGCAGATTGGTTTGGGTCGTATGGACATTTTAACAATTTTCTTTTTTTTTTTTTTTTGGTCCGGTCGTGGGGCCTGAACTCTGGGCCTGGGCGCTGTCCCTCAGCTCTTCAGCTCAAAGCTAGCGCTCTATCACTTGAGCCACAGCACCACTTCCGGCTTTTTTCTTTTTGCTTATGTGGTGCTGTGGAATCGAACCCAGGACCTCGAGCATGCAAGGCAAGCACTCTACCACTGAGCCACCTTCCCAGCCCCATTTTAACAATTTTCTTTTGATCCATGAACAAGGGAGATATTTTGGTATTAATTTAGTGCTTTCTCCAATTTCTTTCATAGGGACTTAGCCATTTTCACGTTGAGGTCTTCCCTCCACAATGGCTCATATTAAATGTTTTTTTGTTAATGGTTTTGTAGTTACTGCGAATGGAATGGCTTTCATGATTATCAGAAAATGTTATTGGTGTATAGAAAAATTACTGATTTTTGTATCCTGATACTTTGCTGAATTCACTTATCAGTTCAAATAACCTTTTTTTGTGTGTGGTTTTTCTATGTATAGAAGTATCCCTCATAGGGGCTGGGAAGGTGGCTCAGTGGTAGAGTGCTTGCCTTGCATGCATGAAGCTCTGGGTTCGATTCCTCAGCACCTCATAAGCAGAAAAAAAAGCCGGAAGTGGCGCTGTGGCTCAAGTGGTAGAGCGCTAGCCTTGAGATGAAGAGCTGAGGGACAGCGCCCAGGCCCAGAGTTCAGGCCCCACGACTGGACCCCCCACACACACAAAAAAGAAGTATCCCTCATAATTGGGTAATTTACACCTTTCCTATTTGAATGAGTTTTGTTTTTTTTCTGCCTAAGTACCCTCGCCAACACTTCTGGTACCATATTGAATAACAGCTGGGTGAGAATTCACTTTCCATCTTGTTCCTTGACCTAGAGGAAATGTTTTCTCCTCATTCAATGACATTGGCCTGTAAGACTTGCTATATATAACCTTTGTATATTATATATTGTTGAGTTAGGATCTTCTCTGCATAGTTTGTTCAGGCTTTTATAATAAAGGGATATGAAAGCTATCAAATGCTTTTTCTGCATGTATTTGATAATCCGGTGATGTTAACTTGTTAATTCGCATATGTTAAACCATCCTTGTCCCCCTGAAATGAAGTCAACAGGATTCTGATGTGTGATTTTTTTTTTTTTTTTTTGATGTGCCATTGAGTTTGATTTGCTGGTGTTTCTTTTACGATTTTTGCATCTATGTTTATCAGGAACATGCTGGACTATAGTTTGTTTTCTCCCTTGTTTTTGTTCCCTTGTCAGGTCTGAATACTAGCAATGCTGGTCACATACCATGTGTTGGGAAGGGCTCTTTCCCTAACTCTATGTAATAATTGGGAAAGAACTGGTATTAGTTTTTGTTTCATTTTTCCCACTCAAAGTTTAATGAAATTCAGCTGTGAAACCATCTAGTCCTCGGCTTTCCTTTGTTGGGGATATTTGCTCTTGAAACTTTTTTTTTTCTTTTTACTCACTCAATTTCATTGCTTGTTACAGGTTCATTCAGATTTTAGAAATTAAACAATAAAAACAGATAAAATGAAAAATAAAGAAGTTATACAAACATGCATATGTACTTGGTTCAATTTTGGGTAGGGCTTATGTATGCAGAAATAGGTTGTATTTCTTCTGAGTTTTCCAAATTATTGGCATGTTTTTCTTCAAAATAATTCCCAACAATTCTTTTTTCTGTATCATAACCATTGTCTCTTTCTTCATCTTTAATATTATATAGTTGGGGTCACTTCCAGTTTTTTCTTAGTTATTTTAGCCAAAGATTTTTTTTTCCTCTTCGAAGAACCATTTCATTGACCATGTGTTCTTTTGGTTTTCCTCAGATCTTAATTTCCTCTAACTAGTTTGGCTTATTCTTTTTTGACATAGGCTCTCATTGCTGCAAACTTTAGTAGTGCTTTGCTGCACCCCCAAACTTGGGTAGTTTCCATTTTCACTTCTTTTAAGGAACTCTTTTTTTGGGGGGGAGGGGTCGGGTCATGGGGCCTGAACTCTGGGCCTGGGCGCTGTCCCTCAGCTCTTCAGCTCAAGGCTAGCGCTCTACCACTTAAGCCACAGCACCACTTCCGGCTTTTTTCTTTTTGCTTATGTGGTGCTGAGGAATAGAACCCAGGGCCTCATGCATGCAAGGCAAGCACTCTACCACTGAGCCACCTTCCCAGCCCAGGAAATCTTTTCTGTCTTCTGCAATGACCCCCACGGTCTGCACAAAGGTGTGTTTTGTATAACTTCTAACATTTATCCCATTGCTGACTTCCAGTGCCATTCTGTTGTGATCTGAGAAGACACAAGATGATGTGTTTTCTTCCTTAGGCCTAATATATGGCCTATTCCAGAGAAAGTTCCATGCTGTGATGGAAAGAATGTGTATTCTTACAACTACTGGATGGAATGTTCTATAAATATCTGCTACGTGTTTGAGTCATTGTATAGCTTTGATCTTTTGGGGGAGGGCCAGAGTTGGATATCTGCCCATTGATGTATGGGGCTTTTAAATTCCCCACTATTATTTAATTGGAGCCTATCTCTCCTTTTTTGTCTAATAGAATTTTTTTGAATAAAATTAGGCGCTCTGGCAATGTGTGTGTAGATTTCTTATCACGGTATTTTCTGGGTGTTTTTCACCATTACTTTGTCTTTTAACGTTTTTCTTTTGTCTTGCCTGTTTCGTCAGATGGCTTCTCATGTTTTTATTAGGATTCCAATTGCTTGGAATATAATTTTCCAGCCTTCATTTTCAGTTTTTTGTCTATTCTGAAGCAAGAGTCTGTAGGCAACATATAGTTTTGTTTTTATTTTTGGGTCCGGTTGTGGGGCCTGAACTCGGCCTGGGCGCTGTTCCTCAGCTCTTCAACTCAAGGCTAGCACTCTACCACTTGAGCCACAGCGCCACTTCCGGCTTCTTTAGTTTTTGCTTATGTGGTGCTGAGGAATCGAACCCAGGGCCTCATGCATGCAAGGCAAGCGCTCTACCACTGAGCCACCTTCCCAGCCCCGAGTTGCTGTAATATGTATCTTTTATTTATTTTTTTGGTCCGGTCGTGGGGACTGAACTCTGGGTCTAAGTGCTGTCCCTCAGCTCTTCAGCTCAAGGTTAGTGCTCTACCACTTGAGCCACAGCGCCACTTCCAGCTTTTTTCTTTTTGCTTATGTGGTGCTGAGGAATTGAACCCAGGGCCTCATGCATGCAAGGCAAGCACTCTACCACTGAGCCACCTTCCCAGCCCTAATATGTATCTTTTAAATAGAGAAACTAATCCATTTACACTCAAGGTTACTGTTAAAGATTAGGATAAGCTTGTCACTTTTTGTCCACTTTTATTTTCTTCCTCTCATTCACCTTTGTAGTTTGACAGTTTACTGTATCAATCTCATTCTTTTCTATTTTTCCTGTGTGTCTACCCTTCTAGACAGAAACCAAGGGCCAAATCTGGAGGTGAACTCACTGGGAGATAATGCAAAACTCATGCTTAGAGATAATTCTCCATTCCACGGCTGTGGGGCCAGGATGTGCTTTGGTGCCAGGGTTCTGATCTTACAAAGTTCCAGTTTCACTCCTAATTCTGGTGTTTTCCAATGGTCACTTACCTCAAAATATGACTAACCATACATGGATTTTCTTTGTGAGGAGCAAGTGAGTGCCTGGTGCCTCTTTCCAGACATCTTGATCTCTTTACCACACTGCCTCCACACCAAGCTAGAAGTCACTACAGAAAACCCAACACCTTGAACCTCACCTTCATTTGAATTTGGCTGAGTTCTAGTAATGATCACTTCTGCGCTCTCTCAATTTTGGGTTGGGTCCTTTCCTTTAAACTCAACTGTGTAACTAAGAACTCAACGCTGTTCCTTGGATTTTAAGTTAGGGCTGGATCGAGGATCACAAAAACAAACAAAAAAACAAAACAAAACAAAAAACCAACATAGAGCTGGAAGCATTGTTCTTTAATGAGCCGTGGGGTGATTTGTTGTCAAGCTGCTCTTGGGTGGCTGTACAGTGCATATTTTGAGTGACACAATTGCACTTTTATACAGATTCTCCCCCTCCCCCAGAGATTACAAAGTGCCTCTTGATTGCATCAGGAATGTAAGTAGCTCCTTCTTATAGAATTACTCTACTGAACAGTAAAACGGTATTATAATTCACGGGATACAACCTTGTATAATACAGGCTTTTCAAAATTTACACTCGGCATACTTATAAATTACTTTATATCCATTAAAATAACATAATACTAATCTGTAGTCCACACCTTTCCCATCATAAATACAAATACTCGGTTCAAGAAGTGCAACTTTTATATGACCTAAGAAAGCTGATAAATAGGCTTTAAGGGTTGATAGATGGACAGACAGACGGATGACAAGGTAACAAGTCTCCTTGGTGAGGCTTTTGTGAAAGGCCTGAACCAAAACATTAACAAGATCTAACAGACCCATCTCCACAACCATCATTTTGTCATTTACCCCTTTAACACCAGATCCAATGTAGCAATGGGTCCAGGGAAAATGGGTCACAAGTATTCTAGAGGCACAAAAAGACAGGGCCTCCACAGAGAGCAAGGCCAGCGTGGTGATGGGGACAGTGCTAGAGAGTGGTTACAATGTATGTGTGTGCACTGCACACTAGGAACCACAAACTCCCATGTCTAGCTCTACACCATGGGGAAAAAATGTAGATACGAAAGCCATCTGGAATGCTCCTTTACAACTAAAACTCTCAGCTTTGAACACACCCTGTGGATCCCTTCTACTTCAGCAAGTGCTTGTGAAAGATACACACATCCATTCGCTGCAGTGAAGCACACAGCTCACAGACACCAAGGGGTCGGGACCACCTCTTCTCTGCACTTTGTCTTGTTAGGAGCTTGTCCCTGACCTTGACAACCTGTAATGGAACACAGAATAATGTTCACAACTCCCATCCCCCAGCAGCGTGAGAGCTGGGAACTGGGGGCTCTGGTATCTGGTCCCTTGGTCTCAGCGTCTCCTCTTAACTGAGGCTCACAACTCTCTTCATGATTTAAGCCTACAGTGACATTGTCCAAAAAGAAATGTACTCTCTACCTGACTTACATGATTGTAACCCCTCTGGTATATCACCTTTATCAAAAGAGAAACATTTTGGGAAAAAAAGCCTGGGGTGGCCAATCATCTAACTGGCAGGAGGTCCAAAATGTTATGTCCCTGAATCCAGCCTGTATTTGCTGATATTCTGCCTCAACCCGAGATGGAGAATGAAATGGCACTTCTCTGCCTTGTTGCATTCCCATGCCGTGTGTATGGTCACACAGACACAAGCAGAAAGCCTGGCTCTGCAGAGTGCTGGGACTGTGGGACAGGGCTCCAGCCCACACTCGCGCTAAGGCTTCAACTGTGGTGCAGCCCCAGGCAGCTGGGCAGAAATTTGCAAGACTAAAGCTAAGAAGCTGGAGGAGGCACAAAGCTGATGGACAGGAAGGGAGGCCCCATCTGTGAGCGAGTGTGGCAGCTGTCACTCTGTGCTGACAGGAAGAGATGGAAGCAGAGCATTTGGTTCGGCAGTTCTGAGAGTTGTGGCTTCATCTCTATGTAGGGCCAACCATGCCCATGGCCCTGAGAACACTTGTGGAGATTCTTAACAATTGTGGGACCTTTCCCCATCCCATCCTGACAGCTTGTTAAATGACTAGGAATCCACAAATCTAGCAACTAAAACAAGTATTTATTTAATTTTATCCAAATTCAGGTTTTAGGTCCCTGAGAAAAATTATAAAGTCTCTCAACATCCAATCATCTAGCTTGCAGAAAGTGACCTATTGTATGTAGCAAATTCTTAACTGTTCCAAACTTATCTTCCAGAGTCCCCAAAATGAAAAGATAAAACAACAGAAAAAAAACAGTCCAAAGAATGGATGGGAAGATGTGTTGGAATATGTTTTCCCTGGTACTCTCTCTGGAACAAAGGGAAGTTTTCAATGGGGGTGTCCTCAGTTTCTAAGGCCTCTGACCTCTTGAGCATGTGGGGGTGGCAGATACACCTGGCAGGAAGTACACTGCCCTCCCTAGCACACCCAACAAACAGCGCACAACTGGATGGAAGCAGCGCCCCCCCCCCCCCCCCCCCCGCCATCCCAAGTGCCTGCTTCGGTCGCTACTCCTAGGGACAGCATGCCCAAGGAGGTAGACTCACTGACGGTCACTTCGCAGCTTCTCAGAGCTTCCTTAGCCTGGTTCCAATTCTCAGCCCAAACCAGGCCAGGGCAGACTCCTCCTGCTTCATGCAGAATGACACCTAGGTCTGACGTGGGGCAGTGGGAGGAGACACTGCCTTCACAAAGGACTTTAAAGCATTATAAGAGGGAAGAACAACCAAACTTCTGGTTACAGGTGGCAAAGGCTCTTCTTCAGAACAGTGCATGTGATAGTTAGAAAAGATGTATTTAGTAACTTTAAAAGTAAACATTTTCACATACTATCTCAAGAAAGGATGTTCTGTTTTATATACATTATAAATAGCAAAAACCAATTTCTAATCCCACAAATGCTAGGAGGCTTCCGGTAACTCGGGTGTATGGAGACCATGGGGGGTGAAGAACATGGTCACGTCCACCCCTGTCCAGTGGCCCCCAATCTGCACGAAGAAATTCCATGGGAAGGAGGGAAGCACAGGTTAGAATAGGCATACTGTACATATATATTTACAGTAAACTTCAGTAACCAGTATATTAACAAAATAGCTTCAAGTAGTCCTCAATTTTTTTTCATCTATTTAATACTGATGGTCTGAGGAAAAGAAGATAAAAGTTAGATGGGCCATACTAAAAACTTAAAAAACAAAACTAAACAAAAAAACCAACTTGGCAGCTTTCTGTAACACTTATTCATGCAGTGTGGCGTGGATTGTTCGGGAGTGGCGTGGCTGGAGAGGCTCCTTCGCAGCGGCCTGTCAGTTTAGTCCACGTGAAACCATATAGGGACCCCTTAAAACTGTGCTATTAAAGCACGAACAACAGAACTAGAGGAATCCGACATTAGGATCAGGGATTGCAGAACAATATGGCTACTGAAACATGAGCCCGTGCGATGGATTTGGCAGAACCTAACCAGGAGTTAAACCAGAGCTGATTATCATAACACCAGCCATCTCTTCTCCATGGCATAACAGGCACTGGAGACATGCTCCGATGGCTTCGTGAAAGCAGCGTGTTTTACTTTCCCCAGAATATAATGTGGAGTGTTCTTCAAAATTTTTAAAATAAAGGCTTAGCCTGTTTATAAATCCTTGGAAAAAAGACTGCATACTGCCCTGGCTCCTAACTACACTAAAATAACCCAAAGGCTTTCACTTTCATGGTTAAGCTTCCCCAGTGCCCCTCCCTTCCCGTCCAGCACCTCTCTCTGTAAGGGAAGGTGGGGTGGGAGACAGGCAACCCCTAGCTCCAGGGGTCCCCCCGGGGAAGGGAGGGGGGCCTGTTTAGTGAACTCTTCATTCAAACAGAGCAGCCAAGGCACAGCTGGCACCACCCCAGCAGGCTTCCAGACGGCCTTTCCACTTCTGCAGGAGGCCAAGGAAGTCAGCACGCAGGTCCTAGCCCTATGCTGAGAAAACACCGCCCTGCTGTGGATGGGACAGAAGAGGCCCCAGGACGAGACGTGTTTTTGTTTTTTTTACAAGTCCGTGAGGGACGCACATGTGTCAGCTCAGACCATAAACTCATTATTGCCACTGAGGGCGAGCTGCTGGGCTGAGCTAGTGTCTGGATCCACATTCTTCCTTCGACCAGGCAGGACTGTCCCCTCCGGGGTCTCTTTGGTTTTCTGGGGTGAGTTTTTCACATTCTTTAGTTTCTGCTTGCCCTTTTCAGGGTTGAATGTTCCTCTGCTGATAAACTGAGGCCTGTCTTCCAGAGATTTGGTCTGGCCCAACGGTCCTTCCTCACCAGCTGAGGCCGCTCGGTAGAATGGAGACTTGGAATAAATCTGGAATCGTTTTCGGGTGCCATGAGATGATGCAGCGCTGGGTAGACCCGAAGAGGCGGAGGAGTCTACCGACTCCATGGAATCCTGCTGCTTTCTCAGCTGCTTTCGTGACTTGCCCGCGGTCTTCTGGGAGCTCAGAGCTAAGCTTCTCTCTAATACAGAAACAGAGACCACAGCGAAATGTGACACTTCCTGTGATGCAGTGTCGTGTAATGGACAGATGTCACTGTTGCCCTGTGAAACTCGAGGAGCTAATATTGGAGGTGCAGGCTCAGCTAATTCTGTGCCTGGCCATTGACTCAAAAAGCGGTTCGATCAGTTCTGCATATATCACTCAGTCAGCCCAAAGAAAGCTGGGGTTAGACTGTGTGGCCAGCAAAGGCCTAGAACAGTCACCGTCATTTAAAAATCTGTCAGAATATTCAGCGAGTTGTCTTCCTGAGCTATGTCACCACCCTTAGGAAATGGGCATGTCCTGGGACTGATGGAGGAGAAAGTGTGGTATTATCTACCACATGACACTTGGAGGTTGGTATGACATGAAGGGGAGCTTCACAAAGACCAGAGATTCTGAGCCCCCTGTCACCTTGTGTCTGGCCAGTAAGGACGGACACCTAGCTTAGCCCAGGCACTGTATTCCTTCTCTGTGGAGCAGGCCCAGTGCTCTGGCCTACCAGGCTCACTTACCCGATCTCTCAGAGATGCCACCTTCACACTCCATGTTCAGATTCTCTGAGCTATCAGCAGTACCAATGGAGGCCTCAGACTCTAGGGTTTCATCATCAGAGGCTCGAGGTTCCAGTACGAGCATCTCAAATGTTAGCTCTTCCCTGGGAGATACAATCAATAGACCATTAGCAGGAGAGGGTACATGCATGGAAAACAACAGGAAGAAAGTCTTTCATGAAAGTTAAGACTCTCAGTCATAAAGATAGTCGCATTTCTTACTGTCCCTTCCAGGGTGGTCACAAGGACCTACATGAGCCAAAGCCATAATGACCACTAAAACCACATGAACTAAGGGACAAGATGACAGTAGGACAGTAGGACAAGGGAAGATGCGGAGGATGAGATATTGGTGGAATGAACTCCAGACCACAATCAGGAGTTTAAGATTCTAAACTCTCTGATGTATCACAAAGTACTTTCCTTTCTCTGGATCTGTTTCCCCATCCAGAAAACAAGAGTACCTTGATCTGTTTCAACAACTCACTTCAAAACCTTAATCCAAAATTGCTTTAGGTCTAAACTTTTTCTGCAATGCAAGAAATTTTCATTATAAGAAACTGCCTCAATGAGCAGATTATTATTTTTTTTTTGGAGGGGGCGGTCCGGTCGTGGGGCCTGAACTCTGGGCCTGGGCGCTGTCCCTCAGCTCTTCAGCTCAAGGATAGCGCTCTTGAGCCACAGTGCCACTTCTGGCTTTTTTCTTTTTGCTTATGTGGTGCTGAGGAATCGAACCCAGGGTCTCAAGCATGCAAGGCAAGCGCTCTACCACTGAGCCACCTTCCCAGCCCATCAATGAGCACATTCTATAGCTAGTTATTACCTGAAATATGCCAGCTCAAATCTAAAACTCAGCTCTCTACCCATACTTCCTTATCTTACCAATTCTCCTTCTCTCTTAGTCAAGTCTCTTCCATGTCAAGCCCATCAGCCTCACTTCTGCATTACTTGGATTGAGATCCACAGACAACCTCTCCAAGGAGAGTCCCCCAGGAGCTCACTGCTATGCAGGCAAAGTCTCCTGGTAGCTCACTGCTCACTGCACAATCTCTCCAAAGACCGTCTCCCAGGGGCTTGCTGCTGTAGGCAGAACTGTCTCTGAGTGGCTGTGTATGCATTCTCCTTTTTCTGCTAAGACCTTTTCTTTCTTTTTTTGGGGGGGTCCGATCGTGGGGCCTGAACTCTGGGCCTGGGCACTGTCCCTCAGCAATTCAGCTCAAGGCTAGCTCAAGGCTACTACTTGAGCCATAGCACCACTTCCGGCTTTTTTCTTTTTTGCTTATGTGGTGCTGAGGAATTGAACCCAGGGCCTCAAGCATGCAAGGCAAGTGCTCTACCACTGAGCCACCTTCCCAGCCCTGCTAAGACCTTTTCTATAAATCCTCCAATACCTCCCAACACCATGTTAACCAGGGCAGAGCTAAGTCCTGTTTACAGATCACTTTTATACTTCACTGTCAGCCACTGGTCAGTTTATACACCTCTGCCTTAGCAGAGCTACTGTTTTTAGCTAACTTCAATCGTAGAATAATTTAACAGTCTCACATCACCTCATGAACTTGAGCTCTCAAACCTGAGCCTGAGCTCCGGGAACAAAGATTCCTTTAGGACCTCTGCAGACTCAGCAGTGGCAACCAGAACTAGTCCAGCCACTCGAGGGACAACTACAACGTCACATGTCCCAAAGGACAGCAGAGGCGACAAAGTTTCTTGTTCTTTGCTTATCTTGCACCCAGAATCCCAGTGCTGGGTCCACAGCCACGTTGATCGTTACGTAACAGTTCTGCAGGGGATTTTGGGTAAGGACCATTCTTGAAAAGGGCTTTGTCTTAGCCTGGGAATTCTTCCTTATTCATCAAGTCTTGAAGGTGCTGGTCCTGTACTAAGACTGATGCAGCTATGAATACTACCCTCCCTTCAACCCCACCATAGCAGTGACCCTGTGGCCCAGCTGGTGGCACTTCCTTCCAAGATGATCAATTTCACGTTTTTGTGTTTTTTTTTGGTCGGTCATGGGGCTTGAACTCTGGGCCTGGGCGCTGTTCTTGAGCTCTTCAGCTCAAGCTCTACCACAGCACCACTTCCAGTTTTCTGGTGGTTAATTGGAGATAAGAGTCTCATGAACTTTCCTGCCTGGGCTGGCGTTGAACTGCGATCCTCAGATCTCAGCCTCCTGGGTAGCTAGGATTACAAGTGCGGGCCACAGGTGCCTGGCTCACTTTCACGTTTTACTGGTTACTGTCATCATCATATCCTTGTGTCACCTGACATAGAGCCTGATACTAAGATACTGACTAAAAAGATGGTAACAGTCTCTCCTTGCCAGACACTCACTTCTCTTTCTGGAGGCTCTCTATCTGCTCCGTCAGCACTCTCTCCTCCTGCTGCATAGCGGCCTGCTGCTGCTCTGTGACATCGGTCTCCATGGCTGCCTCACTCATCAAGGTTTCTTCTGGGACATCTGACACAGGAGGCAACCGGACTAGGACAGGGGAGGATGGACTTGGGTAGTTCCCTCGGCGGATCCGCCCCTTGCCCTGCAGAGAATGATTCATGTGAGACAGTAAATGGACAGAGGCCTCAGTCTTACGTTGTCCACTGAGGGTGGGTGATGCATGTACCTTGGTCACATGTTCAGAACAACAGGATTAATAGGAGCTGGGATACTGAGGGAGATTTACATCCAACACAATTAGCGAAGACTCCTTACGGGAGCACTGATAGGCAGACACTTTGGTGGTAGAGTGTAAGAACAAGCTACATCTACACAATCTGAATAAGGAGCCATGCACGACTCCTTAAAGCTAGTAAGGATTTAAGGTTATGATCTGTAGTTCACTGGCCACATCTCAAGTGCTCAACAGCAACAGGGAGCGAGCGGGTACTGTTCTCAACAGTGCACAGTAGTTGTGGCCAGCATCAAGGAGGTTCTGAGGGCAAGTGTGCCACGACTTTAACCTTGGAAAGCTAATTTCTAGGAAGACCACAGAACCATGTCTTAAACTTCAATATTGGGGGGAAAATATCACGAATAGCCCTATCTCACAGTGCTAGGGAGATATTTTTCTCAAGATATTTCTATCCTAGAGAACAGAGAAGAGCAAAGTCTCATTGTTTTAAATTAACTTACACATGACCTTAGCATCTGGTAATGGCTTACTCAGATTAATTCTCCTGCTAAAAAAACAGCTAAGACAGTCCAGGAGGGGCTTGCCTAGCACTGAACACTCATCTGTAGCTTGGAAGAGGTGTCACAAATGTGAGCAGAGCTTCTGATAGAATAAAGCTGGAGCTCACAAACTATGGCCCATAAGCCACATCTGGCCTTATTTATATTTTTGTACATGAAACTTTATTAGGGGTTGTAATAATATCCCTCATGCTTGTAATCCTAATTACTCTGGAGGCTGAGATCCAGAGTATTGGAATTTGAGGCCAGCTTGGGGAGAAAAGTCCAGCAGATTCCATCTCCAAAATAGCCAGCATAAAAGCAGGGCAGGAGGCATGGCTCAAGTGGTAGAGCACCAGCTGAGCAAACAAACCAAGCAAGTGTGAGGCCCTGAGTTCAAACTCTAGTACAGAACATCCCCGCTGCACTGGAATGCAGACAGCATTAACTCGCTTGTCTATGGCTGCTTCTGTACCGCAGTGATTCTAAGGTCCACAAAACCAAAAATATTTACTCTCAGGTCCTTAAAATTTTGCCAACCTCTGGGGTAAGGAAGTATGATGACACCTCAATGCCTAACTCTGTAATCCCAAGGTCTGTGCTCTAGACCGAAGGATAACTAAAATCCTCACAGCTTCTGCAGACACTGCTACCTGGGTTGTCTGAATAGTCTAGAAAACTGGGATCTGAAAGCTGCACTGCAGTGTTGTTAGTGCCTTAGGAGCTGTCAGAAAAAAACGAAATTATTCTTTGGAAGAAAGAAATATCCCAGGCCTCATATATTTACAAATAATTTTCAAATAAAAAGTAACTAAGCATAAAAGGTGGTAAGACAATGTAAATGAGAACTAAAAACAAAACAAAAAACAACCAGAAAACAAAACCCCCAGTGACTCCAGATATTATGATATTGTGCTGTCAAAGACTTAGGATAACCATGCTGAAAAAGACAGGAAGAGGTTAGCTGAACTCATAGACTGGAAGTTAGTTCAGAAGAAAAATCCAGACAGATTGGGAGAAACAAAGAATTGGCAAAATTCACAAAAGAAGGTACAAGTGAAAACACAACAAAATAAAGACACAGTCTAAATGGGACACTGAGGAGAGGAGGCACTGAGGAGACACACAGCAGCACGTTTCTAGGAGGAGTTAAAGCCTAGTTTAAGTTTAAGAAGCCTATATTTAGATATACAGCTGCTAAAAACTCAATGTGAGAGAAAATCTTAAAGCAGTCAGAAAAAAAAACAAAGGACCTGCAACCAAGAAGCACCTATTAAGAGTCGAAGCTCAACCGAAATAGGATGACATTTTCAAGATAAAAGGAAAAAGTGACTGCACTCTACATCCTAGAACTGTTACTATTTTGGGGTACTGGTGTCTAATTGCTTGGTTTTGTTCTTTTAAGGCAAGTGTTGGAGTGCGTGTACACACACACACAAAAACACACACACACACACAACCTTGAACTCTATACTTAAACAACCTACAGGAATAAAGGTGGAATAAGGACATTGTCTTGGAGCCAGCAGACCTGTGCTAGAGAAAATACTTAAAGGGTAAATAGAAAATGACTCATGAGAAAAAGGTTGAAAGGAGAAATAAAAGGAAGTGAAACAGTAAATATGTAAGTCTAAACCAATTCTGATTGCATGGAGGAGGAGGATGTGGGTCTGCAAATGCAGACAACTGAGGTACATGACCACAGCACAACTAAGTCACATGACGCCTAATGCCAAGCCCTGGCACATTTGAGAAAATGACATTTTTAGAAGTACCAATTAATAAAGTTCGATAAGTTACACATTTAGGATGTAGTTGTAGTGACTTCAGTTTAACTGCTAAAGAACACACAAAAAAAGGAAAACTTCTAACGTGAGGAAAATAAGAGTATATAGCAGTTGCCAAAGAAAAGGTCAGAAGAAGGACAAGGAACATGAGGTAGGACAAAAAGCATATAACAGTAAAGCAGCAGATCTTCAACTCAAATGTATGGGTGATTTAAGTGAAAATGTGTCTCGTAACTCAAAGGTATGTAGGGTCTCAAAACTATAAAACAATTTGATGAATGGAAAGAGATGTTTATTAGTGGGAAAATCAATGTAGTAGGAAAATCAATATTGTTAAGTATGTCAGCTCTCTGGAAGTCAATTATATATTCAATGCAATCTGGAAAACACATGGAGAATGATTGCTAAGCTCATTTTACAGCTTAGATGGCAAAGAATAGTCAAACACTGCTGAAGAAGGTAGGATAACTTTTCACCAGTATTTTTTAGAAAGCTATAGTAATTGAAATAGCATAACACGCCTAGAAACAGACCAGGTTACAAAGATTGCGGATTTGTAACTAAAGAGGAACTGCACGGAAAGGAGGTCTTCTAAAAGATGATGGGAAAACCAGCTATCCATGCAGAAATGTCAAAACCTCACCCTTCTGTACACCGATTGTACCCCATAAGAAAGTGCCTCTAGTTGAAGAGTATAAATATAGAAAACAAAATGTTCAAATATTAAATATCTAAAATACCTAAAATATCTGATATCTTAAAAATAATCTCCAAAATACTAGTCTAAAGCCTTAGATAAAATCACACAATATTAAAACTAAGAACCTTCATCAAGACACTTTAAAAATGTTTATATTAAGCTGGGTGCTTTTGACTCATGCCTATAATCCTAGCTACTCCAGAGACTGAGATCTGAGGACCACAGTTTGAATCCAGCCTGGTTAGGAAAGTCTGTGAGACTCTTATCTCCAATTAACCACCAAAAAGCCAGAAGTGGAGTTGTGACTCAAGTGGTAGAATGTTAGCCTTGAGCAAAAAAGCTCAGAACCCAGGCCCTGAGTTCAAGTACCAGGACCAGCACCATTAAAAAAAAGTTTATATTTGGCAATATTAGGGATTGAATTCAGGCTCTTAAGCTCACTAGAAAATTACTCTATCACTTGAGCCATTCCCCAGTCTTTTTTGGGGGAAAGCAAGATTTCACTATGTCTAGGCTGGCCTGGAACTCACAATATAGTCCAGGCCTTGAACTTATGATCCTCCAACCCCCACATCAGGAGGGCTAGGACTACAGGTGTGCGTCACTATGTCGAGGTTAAGAGAGTAAAAAGGAAGCTATAAAGTGGAAGCTGGTATTTGCAACAGGAGCAGTCAATAATAGGGCTTGTATTCAAAAGTTCATCAGAATCACAGGTCATTAGGAAAACAACTGGACAGCTCAATTAGGAAACAGGAGTGTTACAAGGGGACACCTAATGCCCATTAAATGCACAGAATAGAAATGCAGACAGTCTACTCCAACATAACAAAATGTCCACTCCAACATCACCCCATACATACATACACACAGTGTCCACTCCAATATCACCACACACATACACACAGCAGTGTCCACTCGATATCACCACACACATACACACAGCAGTGTCCACTCGACATCACCACCCACAACAGTTTCCACTCCATGCCCCCCACACAAAGGCACATAAACAACTAGTACCCACTCCAACATCACCCCACATACATGCACATACAAAATCGTGTCCACTCTGACATCACCACACACATGCACACACACAACAGTGTCCACTCTGTCACCACCCCATACACACACATATGCAACAGTGCCATCAGCACTAGACTGGAATGTACACACACTGCAATAGTACACAACACCAAGAGGAGTTACAACAGAGCAAACACAGTTCACGCTAGATCAGACTTGTACAATTTGATTTATATAAAACTTAGAAATAAGCAAGGCAAAACTATGGCACTCACATACTGTGGTAGAAAACCAAAAAACAGGAAGTGGTACACATAAAAATGGGGAATAAGATTGTGCTGGGAAAGGGGTAATGGCAATATTCTATTTCCTGACCTGGGGTAGTAATGGCAATATTCTATTTCTTGATCTGGGGGTGGTATGTAATGTTGATTCTACTAACCCACTAAGATGTGCATCTGTTTCTGAATTTTCAATACATGTTGGGTTTTGTAACAACAAGGTGTTTTGTTGTTTTTTTTTTGGGTCCGGTTGTAGGGCCTGAACTCTGGGCTGGGCGCTGTCCCTCAGCTCTTCAGCTCAAGGCTAGCGCTCTACCACTTGAGCCACAGCGCCACTTCCAGCTTTTTTCTTTTTGCTTATGTGGTGCTCTACCACTGAGCCAACTTCCCAGCCCCTAACAAGGTATTTTTAAAGAGTGATTTTTCAAAGTTAGCTAGTTACTCAACTATATTAAAATCCTTTGAAAATAAGCTGACAAAATTTTAATCTATTTTGGAAAGAATTGAATTGTTGTTGTGCCCAGGTACAAGGTGAAGCTGGAGGTTAATTCTGCAGGCCTCAGGCTAGCTCACA